TAGCTTTATTTTTATTTACAATTCGCGCCAAGCAACAAAACATACACCTAGCCATGCAGGTCAATTTTCAAACGGGGAAAAACTGATGTAACAGCTTATAATTGTCATGTTATGCTTGTGTGTTGTACAAAGTATTATAGCATGTTTGAGTGAAAACCATGGTTACAATGTCTTTTATACAGTTACATGATAAATTGACCTGACCTAAAGCGAAGACACCAGCTAATAGATTTGCAACACAAGATCAAAACCAGGACCAGGCGTTCCTACAAGTGGCTTGAGGCATATGGAAATGTACGTTTGATAATTAATTTAGACCTAAGAGAGGCCAGACAGCAGAACAGTCTGTTTGCTTATATTCTCTTCTTCACCATGTCATATCTGATATCTGAAGCCATATATCAACCAATCAGAAGAGTAGATTTTATTTAAAATGGACCACTGGCTACTAACAGACAAGCAGAGTGTCACGATATTAGACAAAGCCGAAGGTCAAATCACTATGGCGGCTGTGAACGGTTAGCATAAACCCTAACTGTCAGTGTCACATATTTATTTATTTTTTATCTACTTCACTCCATAGAGAGGCCCTTGCTTTGATTTAAATACTCTACAGTTTGGCACTAGACTTATCCATAGCATGTATTTCGTTAATGCTTCTATTACTAAACCTCTCGTGGCGTTATCAGTTTGTCACTATGGAGATAGATTAGTTCAATGCCTTATTGTGATATCTGTCCAGCTCTTTGGTCACCTGAGGTTGTTTTAAAGGTGCTTTGTAAATAAATTTGACATTAGTGATATTGGCATTATTTGCGGAACATTTTAGGCTACGTGGATCCTCCTCCAGAAAGGTATAGTGAAACTTCTAAAATCCTTGCTTTGTTAAATGTGCTATTTTTTCATAATTCTGAAACCCATGGACAGTTGGAGTTGCCTTTTCCTTTATTCAGTAATCTTTGCCAAATGAGCCTTAAGGGGAATAATCCTAAACAGTGCAGTCACATCTATTCACGCTTACATTCTTTATAGGGTAATTACAGTTTCAGCATGTGAGTTTAAGAGTTTGATGACTTTTGTAAGGGCTTACATTGTGCTTTCTAATTTTGCTTTCTTCTGAAAAATTAGGCTAGTGAAATTCCATTTATATCCTTTGGTTTAGAAGCACTTGATGAAGAAAACTGACCTTTGTTTTAATGACTACAACCTTGAGTGTGTAATTTGTATGGACCAGGGTTTTCACACAGGCAAACATCACAATAATGAATGAGGTCAAACATGTGAATAGTCTTTAGTCTCATTTCCCCAACACTATTTAACTACAATGAACTATACTGTGGAGAAAACAATACCTGAGGCACAGAGGACCTAAATATAAATCCTGTTCTCTGGCACGCTTTCTTTGGCTCAGTGAGTTGAAGTGTGATCGTCCAATTGTTGTGTCATGTTTTTCTGAAACAAATGCGCTACCCTAACAAACCATGCATAGCCCATCCAACAGGGGCTTATACTACAGCTGAGACAATACGTGAGTAATGAATGAAACCTTTTCCATGCAGCATTAGTCTGAGCTGATGGCTGCTGTTTCCGCCTATTCACACACCTTCATTTGGGAGTCACAGAGCTTTTTGTACTAAAGTAAGACTTAAACAGTTTCCACTACATTTACCTCTTAAAGTTAGCATCTTTAGTTTTGAAGGGTAAGTTTCAAATTCTAGTGTGGATACATGTAGCCTGGCATCATCATATAGGAAATAACCTTCAAGTAGTAAACCTGTGCCAGGGTAAAGTATATAAGTGAAGCAATGGAAGACCAGGACTCTGACAGTAAGTTAGTTCATGCTACCACAAAGGCCTTAAATCACAAAAAAAAAAAAAAAAAAATAAAGAAAAAAAAATAATAATAAATAAATATATATATATGTGTGTGTGTGTGTATATATATATATATATATATATATATATATATATATATATATATATATATATATATAATATAAACAACAGTCAAATCCTTCCCCTTCCAGAAACATTACTGAAAATATATATATTTTTTTTCTATCAACAATCTGAACTAAGCAAATAAAGCAGGACTACATATACACCAACAGATTTCAGCAAAACAGCATAAAAGCAGGTTGTTGTAGATATTAATCTTTAAAAAAGCCACCAAGCCACCGGACTAATTTGAACACCCACCCTCTAAATAAACAGTGTTTTGTGCCCCTCCTTGCGATTAGTTATTGCTGTAGATATTGCTAAGACCTAAAAACTAAAACAGAGGCTTGTTTGAGATTGTTATTTTCTGATCTATGAAAATTTGATTTTGTAGTCCTTAAACCAACTTTGTTCACCACCAGTCATTCACCATTCATTATAAACAAGGTCTGAAGCATTTTAGAGATAAGTACAAGCAAATTGTAGCTATCAGTTGTATTCCAGTGTTAATGTGGCATTGAATGATTGTATTAAAAGAGGATGTATTGAGGGAGCAAAACGTCATGCTATGCTATGTTGTAAAGAAAATACTCAAACATTGATCTGCTTATGTAATATTTGAAAACATCTACAATACTAAAACTACAGTAGTAACATTTGTGACATCAAAATGATGATTCAAAAGAGGTATTTGAAAGTTATACTCGTAGCTAATAGTGTGATGGCAATTTAATCACAATTGCATTATGTTCAAAGGCACACATCCCCAGTCACAAAATATCTGAAGACACTTTGTTATCAGAATAAACATGTTTGAGGAGCACCATTGCCATGGTTACAGCTATGAAAAGAGATAAAAGGAATTCATTTAGAAATACAAACATTGGTCTGCCTTACTGTTTTGTTGACCCATCTGTCAACCCTGACTCTGTGTCTGTGGTATGGCAGTATTTCTGAGACAATGGCATAGAGGGGAAGCTGGACCAAAACTTTTCAATGAAACAGCATTTCCTATTGATTTGAGTTAGTACCTGGTTATCCAGCTTGTGTCCTTTCCCATGTGCTTCAGTAATCTTATCAGCAGCTGAAGCAGGCCAGTCTTATGTTTTAATATAATAAGTGTGAGACTGCTTTTTTAATGGCATAGTTATAAATCAAGGACCCATGGCAGCCCAAAGTATTACCAGCTATTGTTTAAGCAGCAGCACATTGTGTGAGGCCTAATTTTGCCTTAGCTAAAGAGTAGAGCATGCACCTACATAACCACTACATACATAACCACTTTAAACACAGTCTTTGCACCGTGCATATAGATAGGGCATTAAGATACAGGGTGATGACCTTGTAAGGCAGTAAGTGGGGAAAGGCTTAAAGATGCTTATGAGATGGAGTTCATCTACAGAGAGGATGGTGTAAAGTCAGGTAAAGTTATTTTTACTTAGGTGGGCAGGAATTTCCTAATGCCGCTCTGAAGAAGTGATTTCTTTGTATAGTTAAGCTGCCATTTATGAGAAGTTGGTGGAGTTGCCAAAAGTTACAAGTACTGTTACTTCATAATATCATATATATCAATAATACTTCTCAAATAGAAGTATGAAGTATTGGTCCAAGAAATTACTCAAGTAAAAAGTAAAATAAATATTTTGGGGAACCTACTACTAAAAATTGTTTGAGTAATTGTATGACGTAACTTTCTGGATGTAACGTTAGATTTATTATTTGCTGATAAATATATATAAAAATCATATCTGATGAAGTGGTGCAAGAAAGTCAAGAAGAACATAAACTTTTGCTCATCTGTGAAATATACTGAAGTAACAGGAAAAGTGGTGCCTGAAAGCTACTCAGAGAAGTGCAATTTAATAATAATTCTGTGATTTATTAATAAATTTGAACAATTCCAGCTAGATAAGGTAAGATAAAAAAAATAAATAAAAAAAAAGATTTATTTAAATTCAGAAACATTCTGAAGCCCACTTTCAGTTTAAGAACAATGTTTAAAGCTGAAAATGTGAAAACAAAAACAAAACAAAAAAAACACAAAAAACAGCTGTGGGTGGTTTTACTAAGAGAGATAGAGGTCACAAAAACAACATGTGTTCATTACAGGGAAAAAAAAATGTGTTACTGAATCTTCAGTGGTAGTTTATTTGAGGAGTCCATGCCATTTGCATGAGTGCCTGCAAGTGTTTTTACTATGTTCTTCAAACTGCTTGAAAACATTGTAGAGTTAAATCTCACACACAGTCAGGATCTAGTACACAGCCAAGTACATTTCCATTGTTGGAAATGCTTTTAGAAAATATAGAATATCAGATAATATGCGTTAATGGGACATTTCTGATTTTCTCAGTTGTAAATCCAATTAGTTCAACTTCAGATGTACTAGAATAATTGAGATTAGTCTCATAAGACAAAGAACAAGTAGGAGGAGAAAAGAAAGAGGGAAGGGAGCTACTAGTAGCTCACAAACTACAGGTTGGAGACCCTGGAGAATTAGGCAATATTTCAGGTTTTATCATTTTGGTTATAAAAATCATTTTGAGTGCCTTAGTTTTTGGCTTACATTTGAGTCTCTTTACACTGCAGAACTTTCAATAAATTTTTCATGTATAGCACCATGTATAAAACAGAATTATTCTAATTTCATTATTACCACTGAGAATAAAAATACTTACTATAGCATGTGTTAAACTTAATTCCAATAGGTAATCAAATAAACCTATTAAAGATCATGTTCCTTCAAATGCAATGTTTATTCGGATTGGACACATAGCAGGGATTCCTCTGCGAGGCTGAAATCTATGTACCACTCTGTGGGAGGACTGAGGAAAGTGCGCTTTGGTTTGCTTATGAGCGGGGCGCGTAAGTCGGGGGTGGTCTCTGCGCACAGACCAGTCTTTAAAAGACGGTTCACTGATGATGTGCGTAGACAAGAGCGGACTCTTCTGTCCTCACTGATGGACTGGTCCATCCCGAGTGACCTGCTCTTAAACAGTTTGGAGTAAAATCCACAGCAACCTCTGAGCGCGCCACCGTTACGCACACCTTTGCGCACCACAATGCTTTACTCACTGGACATCTTTTCCAACACCTCGAAAGTCAACAGCACAGAGGACTTGGAAACCACTGAGAATGCAAGAAATATGACCAGCAAGAGAAACGACAGTGACCCGTTTGGGCGAAACGAAGAGGTGGCCAAAATTGAGATAACAGTTCTTAGTCTTGCGTTCATCGCCGCTGTGGTGGGGAACGTGAGCGTTCTGTTGGCCATGAGTCGCAGCAGACGCAAACTGTCTCGCATGCACCTGTTCATGCGCCACCTAAGCCTCGCGGACCTGGTGGTGGCTTTCTTCCAGGTGCTGCCGCAACTTTGCTGGGAGATCACCTTTCGCTTTTATGGACCCGACTTTCTGTGCCGCATTGTTAAGCACCTGCAGGTAATGGGCATGTTTGCGAGCACATACATGATGGTCATGATGACCGTGGACCGCTACATTGCCATTTGCCACCCGCTGCAGACTGTCCAGCAGCCCACACAGCGCGCCTATGCCATGATCGGAGCCACATGGGCGTGCAGCCTGGTGCTGAGCTCACCGCAGTACTTCATCTTCTCCCTGAGCGAGGTGCGCCCCGGGTCAGCCGTATATGACTGTTGGGCACACTTTATTGAGCCGTGGGGCGGGCGCGCTTACATCACCTGGATCACAGCTGGCATATTTGTGGTGCCCGTATCAGTCCTTGTCCTCTGCTATGGTTTAATCTGTTATACAATCTGGAAAAACTTCAAGCACAAGACACGTCGGAAAAGTGTTGGGGCAGTGGTGGAAGCCACAAAAAACGGAATCCTGGGAAGGAACTCTGTCAGCAGCGTCAGCACCATCTCCCGTGCCAAATTACGCACAGTTAAGATGACCTTTGTAATTGTGGTGGCCTATGTGGTTTGCTGGGCGCCATTCTTCACCGTGCAGATGTGGTCTGTATGGGACAAGAGTTTTTCCTGGGCAGGTTAGCAATTTACTTATAGACTAAGAAAGGAGAGAAGCTGTTGATTTTCATGGCATAATGGATTAAATATTTAAAATCCGTGCACATGTCTTTTCAGATAAAAAAAAAAAATAATAATAATAATAATAATAAAAATATATAAATATAATATATATATATATATATATATATATATATATATATATATATATATATATATATATATATATATATATATATATATATATATATATATATATATATGTCCTAAGGTCTAATTGGATTGGCCTACTAACTGAATTTTAATGTAGATGTTAATTCACCAAGCCAGAAAGTGGCTGTAAAGCCTGAAGCAAAGGAACTGTTTAGATAATTGCTTAAATAGACAGATGGTTTCTTTCCAAGTACTGTCTGAAAGATGACATTAAAAATAAATAAATAACTGAACATGGGGAATCGGAGGGATTGCTGGGTTGAAACGTGCATGCAGCAGCAGTGGCAGTTACTCAGATTTTCATCACAGCTTCCATGACATTTAACCAAACCATACCTCCCTGAGTGTGAGTTTACTGCCAAATTTGAATCCTCATCCCTTTTGACAATTTTTACATTTTTCCCAAATAACTTTGGGCTAAATATATAAATAACATAATTAATTTTAAGACATATTAAGTAAAGACTCTCTTTTCTCTAGATGATTGGGCTCATATGGTCTTTCTCTTTATTTCCAGATTCAGAGAATACAGCTGTGACACTATCTGCTCTTCTGGCCAGTCTTAACAGCTGCTGTAACCCTTGGATCTACATGATCTTCAGCGGTCATCTCTTGTCTGACTTTGCCAGGAGCCTGCCCTGCTGTGCTAAACTCAGCACCAAGTTCAGTCACTTGGACTCCGACAGCAGCATCCGGAGAACCACTCTGTTGTCCCGCCTCCAAACTCCACGTCTCTCTGAGCCTTTCAAAGACACAGACACCGCTCCCAAAACTGCTATTCCTGCTCCAACAGTCACATGATTACAAATAGCTTGTGTCTGATGCACCAACAGCGTGCACTGTACTGGAGAGGTGATGATCCAGGCATAAGTGTGTTTATTTTACTCTAAAGCAAGGGTTTACTACACCAGAGTTACGTATTATTACCAGGTGCAGAGATTCAATGGTTTAATTCTGTCAAAATATGTGTATGTAAGTTCATACATACACACTCAATAGTCATTTGTATGTTTTGCCAGCATTAACATTAAAACAAACTATAATTAGCAACAACAAATGTTGCTCATAATAACTAAGACATGAAAACCCTCATTAAACTAGCTGAGTAAGCCAAGACTAGGCTTGCATAAAGGGAAACTTAACATTTAAAAAAAATGATATTTCAAAAGAAGAATAGCAGTACACAAGATGGTGTCTTGGTTTGCTATTTTTTTTTTTTATTTGTAAATAATAACACTGGAACTCTCAATGCCATAGTTTTCAAGCAAATTTTGCTATTGATGTTGCATGGACCAATTTTTTTGTGGTTTGACATTAAACTGTTACACTTTTCATAAAATGTATCCCAGTTTAATGCAAATGTGTTGGCACTTGCAGACAAATACAATGCAACTTCATGTGTTCATGTGTGTCTGTTATGTAAGGAATATTGTAATTATTGTAAAGATCTAAATGATACATGATGTAGGTACTAATTTAATGGTACATAATATAGTTTGTACTGAGCGATAGCTTTGTGTCCAGTCTTTTAGTTTCTGACATGTTTTAATGTCGTTAAAAGTAATTTTTTACGCTGTAAAGTTACTGTTAGTTTAATGGTGCTGTACAATATTGTGTTGTTTCAAAGCCACAAAGTAAAAAAAAATCCATCATTTACATCCCCAGATATGAAATGTTGGATAAAAATCAGCAAAAGAAAACAAATATATAAAGTGCTTCTTGTTTTATTTTGTATATTCTGAATCCTGTCAAAAGCAATGCAGCTATGCCCTAGATGAGTGACAACACATACCTCCCCAACTTCTGTATGTTGTGCATTTTACTATTTTTATGTTTTATGTTTTTTTTTTATATTTCAGCTCCAACACACACTCCTCCTGACCTCTGCCCTCACTTAACACAACTGAACAGAAATAGGGATTGTTCGAATTAAAGGTGTATTAATGGTGGTAGTAATGCTGGTCATCATGGCTGTGCTGGTTTGTTTATAATGTGACTAATCAATTGATCACACAATATGAAACAGTGCTATGTCGATGGCCCTTCTCTTGGTGTTTGTCATGGTTTTACTGCTGTGACTTTGCTACACTAAATTAACAATTATGAGGAGAGTGTTATAAAATAGTTTGTTGTATATGGGTCACATGGGTGTTAGCAACACTTGAAAATAAAGTAGGTTGGAACTCTTCTCTTATTGTAATGACTGCAGCAGAAAGGTGTGAGGGCCTTGACATTTCACCACTGAAGCTGTGTGACACATGATCAAACTATGGCAGCAAACTGAGGATTATTATGAAATGCATCTCGTCTCAAACCAGTTGTTTGTGAGCTCAGGAGAAGATGAGAGAGCAGTAGATGGAATGGATGCATATTATTGAATCAGGAGCAGCCAATAAAAGATGAATTCACTTTCTGTTTTGAGCTTGGTAACTGGTTTCATAAGCACCACTATGCTTCTAACCCTATAGATCAACACATTTCTTGTGACCTGAATTAAACGTCTTGAACACTCAAACCTAGCACATATGTTTTGTCATTTCTTTATTAAAGCTTCTGGAAATTGATGCCCTCTGGTATTATTATAGTTTTATACATAGCCAATGCAAGAACGAAAAAAACAAACAAACTCCTAGTTGTCAGATCCCTGAAAGCAAGTCAGCTAAGTAAACTAACTTCTTTGTCTAATACAGACTAATGACATGACACAGTGTATTAACTGTGTACAGTGTGCCATTGCCAATCCTGAATACATTTTATGCAAAATATTCAATGTGTAAGTGCAATCGAACAGTAATTTTATGCAATGTCTAAAATAAAAGTCCTATTTAGCTACTAAGTCTTATGCAGATATTTTCTGTCTGACCATCATGGCTTGCATTCAACACACCTTTGAGAAGTGGGAGTCAACAACCATGCTTCCCTACAATTCCCTTATGTTTCACTAAGTAATAGTGGCTTCAGAGAGTGACAATATAGGTACTATTCAGGTAAGAAGACACCTGTTTTTCAAGCTTTGTATGTGGTATATGAACAGCAATTTCACACTGATAGCCTTGCCTGAGAGTTATTCTAAATCTGAGCTACCTCTCTCATCATGTTAAAGTGGAAAAATTATTTAACTCATATACAAATTCATACCTTTTTTTCTTCCAATACATAGACTACAGGACAAAAATCTGCATGGGAAGTAAATTGTTAGAGACAGGAAGGGAAAATGAATGTGGCACTAAAATAACGAGGCTAATGTCTTTAAAAGAGTGCAGCTTTCATCATTAGAGACTTTGGGTGGGTCCCATCCTGTGCAAAACGTTTTAAGTGGCTGGTATCTTTCTATATCACACACAATAGTTTTACTTTATTTACATTCTCCTTAAACAACTCTCACACCCTCATCTGAGATGCATTTGTTTCATGCTTTGACCTATTAACTAATCGGTTAGTGGGGCCCCCATAGACACAATATATACTCTTTAATACTTTTGTCTAGAATAAGTATGACCTATCAGGAGACATAGTGTGAGTTAAGTGGTGATTTGGATACTACACATTTACCAAATTGGCAGGGAAAATTGCACAGAAAACATTGTTACCAGATCAATAAGGAAATTACTAAGGATGTGTGCAGTCAGTAACTGTAACATGTACATTCGTGAAATTTTCTTACAGCACAAACCCCTGAAATACACGTAAATGTACACCAAATACTTCCTCTGTACATGTGCCATGTGTTTGTACATTCAGGAAGTATTTTCCCCTATCTCCCACAACGGGCCCCAGGGAAAACAAACTTTAAGAATGAAGTTAAATTTGTGTAACAAAATGTAAGTAAATGACAATGCATGAGTCTTGGCCTCTATGGTCTCTCCAGTCAGATTTATGCAGTCAAGTGTAACAGCATTTCAACTGAAGCCAATGGAATTCATTGAAATATAATTATTTTGTACCTCTAGAGCCACTGTAATGCTTTACAATGAGCTTACATCGCTGCCACCCTCAGATAAATGTAATAAATTGTTGGGGTTCTTCAAGTAAGGATTAGACAATGAAGACTTATTCAGTTTTAGAATGCACTGTGATGTGCGTTCACTCTTCAAGAATGTCTAAGACATTACTAGTAGTTATTTCAGTTTTACATTAAGCTTGAACTCACATTCCAGTAATTGTATTATATTTTGGTATATTTTTTCACTAATCATTAAAACACACAAAACATATCTGTGGAGCTGAGGAAAAAGAACAAAAACATGCTATATGCTATAGGGCTAAGTTCAGATAACGTAATAGCTCAGCTCACTTGTGGTGGACACTGTTCTTACATTTGGAGATTGTGAGAAGACTGACAAGTGAAACATAAAATGCAAATGTAGCTAGACTGTTAAAATATTTAACAAACAAATGTAAAGTGTCATAACTGCATGTTGAAGCATTACAGGTGGTCCAGTGTTGACAGCAGCATTGAGTAGGCCTATAACATCATAGCTACAGTTTCTAAGAAAATTCACAAAGCAGATAAACAGCTACTATATGCTACAAACACAGATAACTTTAAATGGGCTAAAATTACATGTGTTTCTGAATAAAAATAACTTTTTGATATGATAGGCTATTATTTAACATCAACATGACTATGTCAGGTTTAAATCATTATTTGACTCATCAATTTCTTAACAAAGATTTATAAATCAAATTTTTTAATTAGGCAGTAGGACATGTCCAGTGGAAAAATATCTGTATAATGTGCTCTACATTTAGCAGCATCCTGTGTGGGCGCCAGGGAACTGTGTCCTCAGTCAAGAGAATATGTTATGCAGTAATTCACCAAGGGCCTATTACTGACATATTTTAAATTTGCACATTTTCTCAAAATGTACAATATATACTTAAACAGTATCAAAGATATTTGGCAGCCTGATAACGTTAAGACAATTATTTACAACAACACTGACCCCTTGTGGATACAATAGGGGAGACAGGGGCATGTTGTTACATGTCTCATGTTTTGTTTGTTGTTTATTTGTTTTTGTTTTATCAAAATCAAAAAGTTCAATCACAAAAGTTAAATGGCAGATTTGAGTGCCTTCTGTCCTGAATTTGAAATAATTTTATCTTTGCGTGCCTGAGATGCCTCCTTAAAAGCATTTCCATAGTTGCAAATTTTTAATATGTAATGTTTAGTTTTGAATAAAATAATAATAATAATGAATACTTAAATGTTTAATAACAAGTATAACTTTCTTGTAATGATCAGTGAAACCAATCAGATGAAGGTAACTTTAGCCACAGCCCAGAGGAGTGGACCTGGGGAGTACAGGGCAAGTTGTTACAATCACAGTAAGATGTCCCCTAGATAAAAAAAAAAAAGAAAAAAAAAAAAGGAGAATGTTCACATGTTAATAAGGGGATTTTTGTAGTCACACTGAACCTACAGAGTGAGCTCTAAAACAGTTTACAGTGTTTAGTTAAAATGGCTTTTTGATCACTGCATGCATTCACTTACTTAAATGTATTTTTTTGTGTAAACAATTATTGTGTATCCCTAAGACAGAAAATACAATCCTTATAAAAAATATAATTAATTTTAGTGTTTAAAATTATTGATAAAGATGAGTGCATGTTGTCACAGCCGTCCAACCTTGTGTTTGAACTCTGGGTGTGTACAAGGCAGAAAGATAGAATGAAAAGACCAAAAAAGGCTGAGATGTTGCTCTCTTATTTGATATGCATGCTACATTTCTGTTGTGTTTAGTTTCTGAGACAGAGATAGGAATGGAAGAAGTGTGACAACATGCCCTGATCTCCCATACATAGGTGCTCATCATGGTGCTCATGCAAACTCATGTAGGATCAGCTAAGCTAAAGGGCTATAGGAAGGCTACTTATCTCCTGTCTAACCTATGGCATGTAAATGCACCTTTGTGTGAGTCCAATGTCTGATTCTCCTAGCTGCACTTTACAGTGGGTGAAGGGGCTTCAGGTTCAAAGTTCTAGCTACACACAATAAGAAGTCAGACCTTTTGTAAAATTCAATATTTTGTTATGCATATGTTAAACATGCTTCCTGTGTTCCCCGTGATTACCATTTTGATTATCTTCATCTAGCCTACTCCATCACAAGAATCAAGTTGATGGGTATTAACTGATTGTCAGTATCCTCGGCTTCTGAATCACTTTGGACAGATCCTTGTCATCAGATTTCTTGGGGTTACAATTCCCCCAAAGCCCTCACGTCCTCCTTGCTTGACTCCTCTGTGTGGCTTTATTATTTTATGAACTTTATTTAAGCATTAACATGTATCTTATCAAAATAAAAGTCATTACACAAATCAGGACAACTGCAGCAAAATGAGCAAAATCTTTTTAAGAACAGGATTGGGGATAAATGTGCATCCAATGATGTTTCAGGCTGTGCATTTGTTTAACACTAACCCTAAGCCTAAATCACTTGATAACACATGATTCTCTTAATTTTTCACATGTTTTAAAACTGCTGACACATAAACACACTTCTGAATACTTTTCAGAACTGATGTTTATTAAACTCTTTAAACTGTCGCTTCCCTCCGGATCCTGATCCACATGCGTCCAGGTGCTCTGAGCAGGACACTTGACTCTGCTTCGAAGGAGCTGACTCTGGAAGAGTGCTATAAAGTGATCTTTGAGGGAAGGATCATGGGAATTGAGAAACACCTGATGTCTTTTGTCAAATAGCTAAACATTAGAAAGAACAGAGTGGATTTATAGGGGACACCGAGGCATGTTGTCACACTTTTTTCATTCCTATCTCTGACTCAAAAACCGAATATAACAGAAATATTTTTCCTTCAATCTCTATCTTGTACACATTCAGAGTTAAACTAAAATTTATTATATTTTTATGAGGACTGTATATCACATGGATGGGCTAATCTAAAGTCCAAACCTTTAGGCAAAAGGGCCATTCTACAGAGTCATTCTGATCAAATACGGTAAACTGTTTTAGAGGTCATAATGAGTCAATTTGACAACAGTGTGACCTCAGCTATTCCACAATCACTGCCGCAGGTAATTCAGAGTAGTGTCATTTATCCCCAGCGCTACCTTAGACCATGACTGATTGATGTTTTCCATTCTAAATAGAATAACAAATTCATAAAACATCATAAGTTTACACTTCTTCCTACTCATTTTTGTGCAATTTTCCATATTAAAATGTGAACATTATCCACTAATTTTGGTGATGTTTTGTTTTTACAGGGGGTTTAATTATGACAACTTGCCCCATAACCACCAGGTGCATTTTTCTGGTACCTTCATCTGATCAGTTTCAATGATCATTTCAAGTTGTACTTAAATATTTAAACATGCATTTACTACATTTATTCAAAATCTTGGAAAGGTATAATAAAATATTGCATGTTAAAAAAATGACTTGTGTCTATGAAAAATGCTTTTAAGGAGATATCTCAGGCAAACAAAGATCAAAATCGTTCAAATTCAGAACAGAGGTGCAAATCTCACACACGCACAAATCTGCTTTTTTACTTTTGCAATTGGACTTTTTGTTTTTGAAAAATATAAATAAAAAATAAGAATAAGAAAATAAGAAAAATGCAGTGTGACAACATGCCCCGGTCTCCCCTCCATGCCGTGAGTGGGTCTTTAAGTAGGCTATAACCAATCACGTGTTAAGGCTTGCAGCGGTTCTCTCCTGAAAGATAGATCCAGTTGGGAAAGTTAAGGTAGCTCATGAGCTCAACTGTAACGATCTTGTTGGGAAGAGCATTCAACTTATAAGGTAACTATTAGCTTTTCCGTGTTTGATTAAGCGTATAGCCTATTGCCACCATGCAGTTTATGATTGAAACACACGAATTTTAACGTGTAATTCAGCCTTTCGCACATTTTCGCGTTTATACTAGTAGTGTCTCATCTCAGAGGGGGTGCAAGCACTTGTGATCATGCGGCATAGACATAAATTGATAGGCCTAGATGTAATTCTCTAAGCAACATGATACTGTTGTACATTTAAAAAAAAAAAAAAATAAAAATTTACTCCGTAAAAAAAATTTTACTTTTTTTTTTTTTTTTTTTTTGAGTTGGGTCGTTTTTTCTTAACCCAAACTCTGGTTATAGTTGGGTCATTTCATATGGCACGTTATACAGTCTATTATTATTATGTTATTGTAATGGATCCATGATTATGACAAACGTTTTCTCGCCTTTCCCCGGTTTAGCCTAGCCAGGCTGGCGCCACCTAGTGCCTCCGCTCAATTTAACTTCTCCCCAGCGACTTTCCACGAAGTGAAACCGGCTGAATCAGGCCTAGTCTACCCAGTGTTCTGGGTCAATCCAGAGAATTGGACCGCGGTGAAGTTGGTTTTACGTTAGACGCTGGATAGTCGCCTCCGTTTACTCTCGTGGTCGCTGCTGGGAGCTGTATTCCGAAGCACCGCTAAGTACACTGGTTAGGGACCATCACTAAATTACCCTTGTAGTAAATGGCTCTTTTAAAAAATGTTCATTTGAAAGGATCAAACGTAGTTGTGAAAACATTTTTACAATAGATTTTAATTAACCCACTTGTTGGTCGCTGTTGTAGCTTCTTGTGCTATTACTCTGTTTTTACCCTCTGCTACAAACTTGAGCATGCGCAGTCTTGATCTTGATCGATGTTTCTTCTGCTCGATGAATAATGTCTGTGAAGTGATGACGTATTTTTGACAGTAAAGTTCCGTCTGTGAATTCGTATTCGTACTGATGAAAGCGTAATTGTAAATTTTCATTTCGTTATTGTAATTCATGACGTCGTAATTTTTCAATTCGTATTCTGATGGATAAAATACACAATATATTTTATGTACGACTGGACTCATTTGAGAGTTTACAAATATTTATTTTATGCGCAACTACAGCCAAATATGCACGGATTTCCCAAATACGCACGGATTTCTATTTTATGCGCACAAATATTTTTGACAGCTTTCTTACTCCATAGTCCTAGTCCTCGAGTATCATGCACACCCTTTGGATTTGAGAATTAACCATTTGTTTTTAGGTTTAGGTTTTTAGGATTTTTCTTTTCCATAAAAGATTTGTGATATTTCAATAGCTTTTAAGGCAGGTGATCTAGCAATTCCACTCCAAGTTATTATAATAGTCCTAATTCTAGTACCATGTACACCTTTTGGAGTAGCCCATTGTGGGATTTTTTTCCCCCTTGACAAATGCAGGAGCTCTAGAAACACAATGTGAAAGACTTCTTTAATGAAAACCAGTTTGAAACAAGTTTTTATTCGTGGAGATCCAAATCAGACAATTTAAATACCTACTGCTAAAAAGCACAGATCTGAAAATTTTGCTTTTTTGTTCCTTAAATTATGATTTTATACATATTTACAGCATGTGGCTCACTCTCAAACCATCAGAAACAATGTGATACTGATACTAAGCCCCTGACTCCCTCCCTGTTATACTTTGTACATAAAGTTAAATTTTTCAAAGGTTCTGAATTGTTTTGTGTCTTGTGTGAATAGTGTTGCAAATTGCGCAAAAGATTTGCCAGATTTATAAAAAGCTTCAGAAAATGCGCCAAATGCTCGGCGGAGCTCTAATGACGTAGATCTGTTGGAAGTAGTTCAGAGGCCGAGGATCCTGGTAATTGGATCCAATTCGCACAGCAGTAAAGTTGGTTTCACATTGGACGTTGGACTCAACTAGGAATGGGCATTCGGTGAAATTTTCTTAATCGATCATCAGAAAAATGAACGATCGATTATCGATTAATCATCAACATTTTTATTTTAAAATGATCATAATTATTATTACTATCTGCACTACTAATCTGCATAAATAAATTCAACTTTACGACATATAAACTGTAACGACTCTAGAGCCACATCAGCCCGTTTGACATTATAATGTGTTTAATTCAGTTTTGCGCAACTCTCACAGAAACGAAACTTAAAACCGCATCGCTAATTTGCATAAACTAAGCAAAGATAAAAATACAGCTCTTGTGTCGCTGATGCGGTCAACTTCTGTTGGATTAAAAGACATGATTCAGTGGAATACAGGTTAGTGTGACCATATTTGCGTTTGTCAAAACAAGGACACCGTACGGGGGGTGGGAGGTGGGTCCTCGTCATTGACATTGCGCGAGTCTCACCTGGCAAAACTTTTTCCCACTGGACACCGAAACATATGTGCTGCTTTGTTCACTGTGCACATGGATTCACACTTGTCCCGAACGCAACGGAAAGCGTGGATGTACAAGTCATCGTTAAATACGCATTTGCGTTGCAGACTGACCGACTGTTTGTGTCTCGCTCCTTCTGAGTGCAGACAGCTACATGTACGGACCCCTGTTTGGTAACGCTAAGCACAGCAACCTACATTCGGTTTGTTGATTAAAATTAACGTAATGGATGAAATTCTTAATGATCAATTATTGATTAATCGACTAATCATGCCCATCCCTAGTCTCAACAACAACAGTGGGAGTTTCCAGTGGGTGTGCCCCGCTCGTTTTATCAAGCTGCTGGAAGACCGCAATGCACGCTCATGGATGTTATTATTGTTCTGTGGGTAAGCTGGTTAGGAACTGTCAATAAATTTATAGTGAATGACTGAACTGAAATGCTTAAATGCAGTTGTGAAAAACACTTCAAACAAATGCAAACAGAAAAAAAGGGGGATTGTGCACATATATTTTATACAACTTTTTTCAATATTGTTATTCCCCTCGAGTTTAAACACGTTCTTTTGGTTTTAACAAGCATTTATTCGACTCCAGTCTTTCACATATCTTCACATGTAAATTAACCTTAATGTCGACGCATGCCGTCAGAACTATAGAAAGATAAAAAGAAACTTAAAATTAACCCTCGGATACAAAACAGAAGTAATTACACAATAATAATAACACAAATGTACCTCATTGGCCACATCCACTCAAAGGGAAAAAAGTCTTGTACTTTGAAACCTTTTAACTCAAAATAAAATGTCCTTTTTCTCTCCGAGGACAGAGCGCAGCTCCTCGTGTGTCTTTCAATTAAGGCTGTGCAGCTGTAAAAACTTCCCCTTGAAACAATATGCAATTGGAAGTGAAGCAAATTAACCAAAATAAAATGAAATGAATTAACATAAATTTATAGAAAAAATTAACTTATTTACGCTATGTATTGCTTTTTAAAATATTCTACTATATATCTCAATATGAATATAATTTATTATAAAACATTAACTTAAATATATGACAGCTGCCACTGACGGCAGCTACAAATATCTTCCAGATAAAGCAACCCAAAATATCCAAACAAATTATTATGGTAGTCCTAGTCCTCAAATATCAAGCACACCTTTTGGATTTGAGAATTAACCCTTTATTGGATTTGTAGGATTTTTTTCCTAATACCTGCTTTAGGTGTTATTGAAAAAAATTGATTTTCAAGGGTAAAATATACTGCAAGTCCCACAAAGGATTAATCTTGACAACCAAAAGGTGTGTAGTACTATTAACTTGGTTTGGGGTCACCTACCTTAGAATGAGCCATGTAGTTTTAAGTTTCATTTCTGTAACACGTAAACAAATGTGCGCCTGAATCCAAAATGCTGCAAATTGTAGAAGTACTTGTATTTTTGGGGCAGACCAACTTGCTCGCGGCCGGACTTGGCATCTTGTCTTGGTCTCCGTATGAGCATCACGTGACAGCGGAACGAAACTAATCGAACGTCATCTCCACACGCAGTTAAAACAAACATTATTATTAAACACGCATGTATGTGCATATGTGGGTGGGTGCGTGCATGCATGCGTCCACACACGTATATAAACAAATAAGGAGTATTGTTATGAACATAAGGTAAATGAATACAGAGTATGTATGTATGTATATATGTATGTGTAGGTGTGTATGTATATATATGTATATGTATATAATGTGTGACATATGGATGTGCTTACACTCGGGTAAATAGCTAAATGGACACTTAATATCTCTAATGAAAAAAAAAACAAAAACAAAAAAACATTATATGGCCGCGTTCAGAATGCAGCCTGAAGTCACCCAAATCCGATTTTTTTGGCCCCTATGTGACCTGTATCTGATCTTTTAATGACAGTCTGAACGATACAGATCAGATTTTTTCAAATGCGACCCAGGCCACTTGGATATGTGGTCCTGAAACCGCTACATATCCGATCTTTTTACACGCGACTTCAGTCTGAACGGTCAAAGCGCATTCATCCGACCTACACGTTATCAACAAGCCACAAATGTCACTATTCTGCGCTGAAGTAGGCGAAAATTGTTAATGAACTCCGTGTCACTGAAGCGAAGCACATCGCCACTCACCACTCTTGGCTACATCTCCGCATCCACACGTTCCTTTCAACGGACGTTGCTGCCGCTGCCCCACAAAACACCACGGCCAAAAACCTCGTCCTTCTCCTTCTCAATCTCGTCCTTAAAACAAGTAAGTTGTTCATGTTCTGGCTCCGGTACAAGAGAAACATTAAAATCACCAGGTGCTCAATGCTCGCGTCCATGTTTGGACAACTTCCGTAAACACAGAGCACGCTCCCTGCAGATGACATCATCGTGTCCTTCATTGCGCATGTGGGACACTTTCGGGCCGTTTAATGTTCACACTGGAGTTCACATACAAGTCGCATTTAATTGGAAATGTGATCGACCTTGCAAAAACATTGGATTTCACACAAAAAAATTAATTTGTGCTGAGCAAACAAATGTAGGTATCAATAAATTCTAATATTATATTAGGTCCTTATGCGCTGCAGATTTTTTAATGACGGTAATGAAACTGATACCGTTTTTTGATACCTCAGGATACCATAATATTACTGCCCAACCCCACTTCAATGTGAGCGAATGAAAAAACAAACTGTAAAGCCCTTTGCACAGTAGGATCCAATGTTACTGAAGCTCTAGCCTACTGATTAGATCCATTATCTTGTTAGCCCAACCACATCTTAAAATCAGCATATAAACAAAATACCTTTTCTGTGCACCTATTAAATCTTGTGATGTAATCTAAAACTATTACTTATATATTATATCTTCTGAAACGTACTTTTCTCCACAAAAACAGACTAACACTATGGCATCCTTGACAACTCCACTTCTCTCTGTGGCACCAACTCGAGCTCTTGTTGATGAGAAGTTCAAGGTGCGAGTAGAAAACCTTCCTGCCGGACTTCCATTCACTCTTCACTCTCTCCACCTATCAGAAGACAATGACTACTGGGAGGCATTTGGTCATTACGTCAGTAACTACAATGGAACAGTGTGTGGTAAGTTTACGGCAGAAACTGTCAACTTATGTTCAAAGTGTCAACTGTTGCTTGCTGTTGCTTCATTCAATATCTGAACCAGTTTCAGAGCAGCTGAGTCTAGGGGGGACATACATGGGGAGAGAGCCCATGGGTTTGTTGTGGAGTTTACGTCCAATTCCAGGAAGCCGCAAAGGCCTCAGGTAAACACCTTCTCCCTACTCTGTCTATGGGTTTCAGAATGATGAAAAACTAGGACCTAGACAGACCTGGACAATTATTATCTGTTTTTTTAATAAATTATTTCTTGCCACTTTGTGTGTTTTTGTGGTTGTGTTTATTTTTACAGATTAAGGAAGATGGATGTCTCTAGTCCTCTGCTGTATACCATTTCAGTATATAGTGGGCATTTAGCTGAGGGATTTAGAGACCAGACACCATTGGCCTCAGTGTTGACAGAGCGGTGGTACATGGCTCCAGGAGTTCAGAGAATCAGCATCAAACAAAACACAGTGAGAGGGACTCTGTTTTTACCACCAGGTATATCAGAGGACCATCTTTAAAATGTGTTAAGAGCCATATCTTTTGTCATAATTATTGTTATTCTTAGGCCTTGGTCCCTGCCCTGGACTCCTGGATCTGTGGGGTGGTGGAGGTGGCCTGATAGAGTATCGTGCTGCCATACTGGCTTCAAATGGTTATGCAGCTTTTGCCTTGAAGTACTTGACCTCTGGAGAGTTAGAGACTGCTGAGCTGGAGATGAACTATTTTGAGGTGATTTTAGGCCGTGTATTACAATGCAGTTTCACATTTTAGTTCCTCTCTTATAGCCCTCTCCATTACAGACAGCATTTAATATAGTGAAGGACCATCCTCGTGTGATACCTGACAAAATCGGGATAGTTGGGCTATCCTTTGGTGCAACTATGGCCCTCCATTTGGCATCTGAGAGCAATGCTATTAAGGTAAATTATTTGGTTCACTATTCATTTTGCTTATTTTTGTCTTATTTAATTGTTTCACTGTTTACATTCAAAAAGCCTTGCTGCTGTGTATGTATCAATGGACACAATTTCTATTCCCATGGGAAGTCCATTGGTGAAATCCTCACTCTAAGGAAAAGGTTTGCTATCAAAATTATAAATGACTAAAAGTAAAACTTGTGAGCAATGTTTCTTCTTAATCCTCAATATATTATTGCAGTAAGTTACGTCTAGAAGAAGATAATAACCAAATATGGAGGCATATGTATGATCTGAGCAGTGATACTAATAAAATTGATGTAAGAAGGTATTTTTTACTCTTTTACTGGTTTGGAGGGGTTTTAATAGACCTATGTCAATATATTGTGATTAATTTAAAAAATATTTTTGTAGGTGGGAAAAATAAATTGTCCAATGTTGCTGGTGTGTGGTGAGGATGATCAGAATCTTCCTGCAGTGGAGGTTGCAGATGATGTGAGTTTTTACTAATTACAAGTAAACCTTGGTCTGACAGTAAGTCGATCTGATCTTGCATGATGTTCTGTTCTCATTTCACAGAGAAAGAGTACTATATGAGACTATTTTGTTCTTTTTCTGCCTTAGATTGAACGAATTATGTGTGCTGCAGGGAAAGGCCACTTACTGTCCAGAATAAATTATCCTGGAGCTGGTCATCTAATTGAAGTTCCCTATTCCCCTCATTTCAGAGTGACAGCATTCAGGGAAACCAAAACACAAACAGGTGGGTTTCTGGCTATATTACTTATTGTATATTTTATCTTGACCTTAATCATACACATAATAATTATGTTTTGTAGTCATGGTAGTGTGGGGAGGGCACACAAAACCTCATTCAGATGCACAGGAAGACTCATGGAAGAAGATCTTGGATTATCTACAACACCATCTGTTCTCAAGCTCTAGTCTCAAGGCTAAACTGTAAAGAAGCAAAAGTACAATATTTGCAACATTTGAAATTGAAAACATGTTTTGCTAATTTGTATCTGCTAATATTTTAAAAAATTTATAATCAAGGGTGTAGTGGGCGTGGTAGGCGGGGGTGTGCCGTCCACCCACTTCTCCTGACATGAAATATTAAAAAAATAACAAATATAAAAGCCTACAACTTAAATGTCAAACCAGAGCTACTGGCAATAGTGAAAACAACCTACATAGACTCATGATATCTGTACTATCCTATAGTGACCTGCAACATGAGGGGACCAGAACTAAAAAACACAGCCGTTGCCCAATTGCACTTTGCAGACACTCTGCTTTGCCGACTCAGGGTTCTCTCTCTCTTCTCTCCAAGAGTAGTCCAGATTTAGACCTGGTTTAGTCCTGTTTCAGTCCTGGTTTAGTCCACCTGGTTCAGTCACGAATCGTGTACCCCCACTTAAAAAATCCCCACTACACCACTGTGTATAATGTATTTATAATCAAATTATTTGTTTGTTTTATTATTCTACCAAAACCTGGAATGATATTAACATCGTGGTGCATAGGGGTCTCAACAATTGGTATACAGGCCTATATGCTAAGGCTGGTTTATGGTCAGCTCAGCGGGGCCTGATGCTGGAATATAAACCAGCCTTAAACTTCATATGATTAATATTTTGGTAAATATAGAAAGAACATTTTAACCTCTTAAGCATTTTAACCTTGACATCATGCTAAGGAGAATTACATCTCAAAGTTAGGCACAGGTTTGTCCAAGACTTATTTCAACAAAATGAAGGTGTTTTTGTAAAATAAGAATTTCTGTGTACATTAAATTACCAATATCAAAATCATCTTAGTTATGATAATTATATTTAATTGTGTTTTAATAAAATGAGTTGTTCAACCTGTGATTAATTTAATCAGCACTTGTGCAGCCCCTGATTGAATTCTGGAAGTTCTGAGATTTCACGTGAGCCATATACTGAGAATGACAAAAACTTGTGTGTGTCCTCTATCTGTAGGTTAAGGCTCTGGCAACCTAGGTTCAATTGTGATTATGCTTTTTAAAACAGCAAGAGCACAGCCTACATACAGTTCCTTTAAACTGACCAGTGCGCAGATGTTTGAGGTCTCTGCTTACCTCTTATTACTAGCCCAATGAGTGTGGAGAGCGGCCCAGCCTTGGAGAGAACTGCGAGCTCCGGTGAAAAGCCTAGTCCCAGGCCACGTTATGGTTTATAAAACTATAAACTATATCCATTGATTTTGGTCATGTTTCTTTTTTCTTTTCTTTTCTTTTTTTTTTTTAAAGGGTTTTTAAATATTGGACAACTTGCCCCCTACCCCCCAGGTGCACTTTTCTAGGCTGTGGCTAAAGGTACCTTCATCTGACAGGTTTCATTGATCATTACAAGAAAGATATACTTGTTACAAAATATTTAAATATGTATTTATTACATTACATCATTTTTTTTTGAAAGTTACAACAAAATATTGCATGTTAAAAAAATATGAAAAATGAAAATGATAAATGCTTTTAAGAAGATAACTCAAGGAAACAAAGATCAAATGAGTTCAAATTCAGGACAGAAGTACAACCCCAAAACACACAATCTGCTATTTCTCTTTTGCAATTGAACTTTTTGTTTTTAGAAAAAAAACGCAGTGTGACAACTTTGTCAGTGTGACAACATGCCCCGGTCTCTCGTGCATCTTACTGACCCAGAGGGCAGTCTTTTATCAAATGGCAATTTCTGAAATGAATTCAGTTAAGAAACAGATCAAAAAACCTTTCCAATAACCTCAGCTCTCCCAGAATCACCGCTGCAGGTAATTCCCCGTTACCTCAGGCCATGATTGATTGATGTTTTCCACAGCTCTAAATAGAATAACAAATTCATAAAACATTAAAAACAAGTTTACACTTTTTCCTACAAATTTGTGTGCATAATTGTACTACTACTGCAAAATATCATAATATTTCATGTTGCTCAAATAAATGAACTGAAAAAATTACGATGAATGATGAAATGCAAGACGCTAAATCCCCTCCAAACTCTGCATGCCGTCGTCGCACACTAGAGGGAGACAGCAGTCTGCATCTGAAACCAGACTGCTTCCAACTCGAGGTATGTGCATGCTGCTGATCTAAAATGTGGGTGTTATCTTAATTTTGTAGATAAAATCTAATTATGTTAACTAAAAAAGTGTTAGTGTCGTAATCGAATATTGAAGTGGTGGGACTGGTGGAGTACAAACCTTTCATGAGAATCGTAACACCACAAATGTCAAAAACGTTAAAAACCCAAAAGCAGATGGCCTGAAGATGATGGCCTGTGTCAGCAGGATTTACTGGTCCCTATGAACGCGCCTATTGTGCATCCACCATATTCCTATCAGTCTTTAACGGACCTTTTATTTATCTCTATACATGTGGTTTTCAATCTATGGGTTGTAACTGTGTATGAAAGGTTACTGCGGGGTGAGGATAACATCAAAATGCAATGCATGTGGTCAACTGCAAATTAGTGGGCGTGAGCCCTGTTCCAATCTCCACGTGTGCTCGCGAGTGTGGACTGACATGGTGCTTATGCCGTTTTCTCACATTCCCTTTAATATGTAGAAACGTGGCTTGTCGGAATCCTTCTTGTTGCTGAGCCCGTCACGAGGGGGTGATTTCTCATTGAGGGTGTGTGATTTACGCGTGCGCCCCTCTTCTCCTCCCCTTCTACTCGCGGCGTGGAGGTGCAGGACCACTAGCTGTGTGGTTGCGGCACTGGATGGATCTAACTAGCATGTTGTATGTTGCGGGGAAAGCCACGGGCAGCGTGAACGGAGGCTAAACAGGAATTGGTCATTTTTATTCTTGCTGGTTTTGGCCATCAACCAGCTTGACCGTGGCATGATGTCAAACTTAAACAAAAGCAAAAAGGACAAAGAAATCCTTGCGGAATACGAGAGCCAAGTGAAAGGTAAGGCTTCTAATTAATGCCATCTTTTAATATCATCCTGTTTTGGACCATTTACAGCCATCTGGGAGGGATCTCAGTCACACCTTCCCTCATCATATGGAAGACACGAAAAATCTTAAAAGCACCTGTCTGCGTGCTCCCTAAATCACACTGAAATGAGCCCAGTGCAGGGTGTGTATGGATGCTGACACCTCAAGTGGAGACGTCAGGATTTCTGGGTTCAACCTGAGTGCTGCATGGCGCCTGAGGGAGGAGGAGGGGGTGAAGAGGAAGGGTTAGGTGTGGAGACATAGAAGTATCCACGGGGCTTTTTTGCCAATGTCTGTTTGTTTTATAAAATACAGTGAACATCATCTGTAGGTCTCGTGGGAGCAGCAGCTTACAGTCTATTGGTATTCCTCCAGGGCTGTTGCTGCAGCAATGTGTCTTTATGCTTAAAGCTTAATGGACACTCAGGATATGTTGGTCTTAAGTCTCAAAATAGTGGCCCGTAACTTTGGGACATCCCACCCCTCTCTTGATCCTCCTCCTTTTTAATGCCTTCATGTGTCTCATAATAAAAGGGGTGGAGATGGGCAGGCAAGGTAGATAACCTTTTTTTTTAAAAATACCTCTAGAACAATGCCGCCATCTAAGTCTCATCTGCATCCTTATCTTTTGAATTCTAACTGTACATGCCATAATTAGGTGCATCATCTCCTCATTAACCGCCACAGGGCTCATGCAATTCAAAATGTCCGACTTTCACTATTACACTCATTTGTAGTCTGCAATGCCAGAACACTATGACAGAAAGGGTCAAACATTTTTTCATGTACATTGACTAAAACATTTGCTCTAGGAGAAATTTTATTTATGTATTTTTCTGGACAATGTCTCATTCAGGTATCTTTTTTTTTTCTTATTTCATTTTCATATTTATTTGTGATCAGCACCCACACAGTTGTCATCTTGATGCCTTTGATATCATAAAACTCACACCATGTGCTTCCTTTAGACCTAAAACCTCTTGAACATCTTATGTATCGTAGGGCTAGTGATTTTTGACTAACCACTGTTACTACTACTACAAATAACTACCAATCTTACCTACTACTAATACTAAAGTAATTCATGAAGCCATAGTCTCTTTTGTGCACAGTTCTTGTTCCATCCTTCTTCCTCTGCTGTTGCCTGCTGTGCTCTTGCTGTCACTGTGGTAGTCTCACACATGTAGCTCACAATGAATGGACAGAGACTTAAATCTATTGCAATGCAACAGAGACGGTTACAGTCATTGTGGAAGGACAGGGTCGTGCTTTCAATTGTGCTCTTACGTGTTGCTGTGTGTGCATGTGGCCTCTGCTCTGGCATCAGGCCATTGCTAGCCAACACACACGGAGGGATGCCCTGCATTGTAATGATTACATTGACCATGTACAACTCCGTACCGTCCCATTTAGACATCTCATCTCCAGTAGAATGATTCACTGTATCCTGCCACCTTTTCATGGAGCTAAACATATAGATCCGTGTTGTAACTATGTGCTTTCAAAGTCTGCCTCCATCGGTGTTCCCTGATTGGTTGATGCTGGAGGTGGTGTATAATGTATACACAGGAGGAGGTGGGGTCTACTCACTGAGGTGAGCTTTGCAAAAAGGTACGGACTGAACACTGCTGACAATACATATTTGTGGCTTATTAATGTTTTTCTGCATCTCGCGTCTTGTTCAGAGATAATCACATCCACCCCGACAGCATGTGGCATGTCCATTTTCAGAATGACGCTACAGTCATTTTAATGAGAAATGCAAATGAAAAGAGATAAAAAGCCCTGCAGCAGAGAGGTGAGACAGACACACACATGAAGTGTGACTTCATGCGGCTGCTGCAGCTTGTTTTTGCCTTCATGAACACTGAGCACAGTTAGAAACATCACTGTGCTCACCTGCAACACAACACATGCCAGACAGACAGAAGGGCAAAGTCCCACAGACACAATGACATTGTTAACACCAAAACCAAAGGCCTTGAACAATGTGTACTTAATGATGAACCAGCGATACGCTGACCCCATGTCCTTGGAACTGGTTTCCACGGCAACAACCACCTTGATGTGTTGCGTGCCCTAATTTTAGACATATAACCCTAATGGATAAATGTGGGCTTTGGTCTTTGCTCATTCAACAATTGTTGTTTTTCAAATCAAATTACAGTGATTGACTTTACAGTACTTTTCAGTATTTCAGTACTTTTCAGCTGTCATGCTCATTTGGTCATTTTTTTTATTTTTTCAGTGACAGTTCTTGTAATTGTAGCATAGTACTGTCATTCTTGTCTTATTAATTATTTGATCAAATCAAATGATGTTTGTAATCATAAAAAATGTGTTAACATTAAAGAAGACATGCTTTTTTCAGGTGTGAAAGTATAGGATCATCATTTTACATTTTGTTCAGTGTAAACCAAAATATTGCTAAAAAACATCTCTTCATATTTTTTTTAAGTGAATATGTGACATTTTAGAACACTACCTGTCTCAATGTCTCAAATGAATGTATCAATCAAAATACAACTTTGAGTACAATAATGATGAGGGAACGCCACTATAACAAGTTTAAAAGCAAAATTTGCATAACTCGCCTCCTTTAACATTTTGGCATATTTACATTTACATGGTGACCCATGCCTTTTAATTGAATTAATATGAACTCTTTTTTTGTGAATGAACAAGTATAGACTTTCTTTATGAATTCACTTTGGGCAAAGAAATTTGCACATAAATTGATACATTTTACTGCTTATCCAGCATCAACACATCATGTGTTTTTTTCCTCACTTCTTTACTCTTATATTGTGTTTGGCAAGCAGATCCATAGCTCCTAAAATTAACAGAATCAGCTCTAGGTTTGTAGGCTGGATTTAATCAGTATGATTTTACGTGGGGCAGATCCATTGTGTTTGCTGAATTGTTGCCCTCTTTCCTCTGTGTCAGTGTTTTGCCACATTGTACTACAACTGTGATCTAAAGGGCTAAATCTATTCATTGGGGGGCAGTAGCATGTACTAAGAGGTTTCTAAGAAGCAACATCACAAGGTACAGCAGAAGCAGTCAACGCACTTTCACTTTCAATAAACTGTGATCTAAGATGGGAAAATACACTGATAAAATCTGTTCTCCAATTTAGAAAGCTGATCACATATTAAAGCAATGATGAGATGATCTAAATAAAAGTAAACACACTTTCACTGCTGTAACACAAAAATTTTATATCGTGAGCCTCCCAATTATACTTTGTTGAAAGTACCATCATGATTCATGTTGATTATAAAGTTCAAATCAATTTGATTATGCACACTAATTCCAATAATAAGCTATACATCATGTAATACAAAGAGTAGGGCAGTACACAAGAACCAACTTGAATAGATTTGCTTCAACATTTTTATAAATGTCTTTCTGAGCTTGTCCCAGTCTTCCTGCTGGTTTCCTTTTAATCTCTCTATCCATTTAATTTTTTTTTATACAAGAGTCACCTTGAACCACTGCCTCTGACCACATGCAACCCACACCTATGCTAAACCTGAGGCAGTTCATTTTTTTTCTATGGTAATAATACTAGGCTAAATGCCTTGGTAGCTTTGCAGGTTCTAAGCTCAATCTATCTGCGGCAGTGGCTACAGAATCCACAATCACGTCCCGGCTGCACTCTCCCACACAAACACGAAGCAGACAGACACACAGCGGTCTCGGGAGGACCCTCTCCACTTCACTACCTGTTGTCAAGGCAACCACACACTGTGTGTGAACCATGTGACGAGGAAGGTGAAGACTGGCTTACATCTGATGCATTCATACACACTATATGAACCTGTTGTATTCACACCGTTAGCCGTAATGCCTCTGCATGGAAAACTGTGATGGCCTCTCATTCCAGTGCCACTATGAATGATGTCTCTTCTGGTTTATGTCCATGGATTCTGATACTATCTTGCTTCACATGCTGACTCATTGGCTACCTCCTGGTCTCTCATTTGCAAAAATATTACGATTTACATTTTCCAAGTCAAAGTGCCTGTCTGACTGATCTAGCATATCCTCTGTGGGTATCTTTTGGGGTGTGCTAAAGGTCATCTGTACATTGAGCAGTCTCATCTTTTGTAAAACGGATAGTTTCCATAGCAACTCTGTAAGTTTGCTGTTACGCTTTGTTCCAAATAATTGTTACACTTGCATTTGCATTTATATCTACAAATAGTCTGAAGCATCACAATAGGTTATAAATTAACTAAATGCAATTTATAATTTGCTTGCACTGTTCAGACCATGTATAAACGGCCAGATATAGAAAATACATTTATTCTGTCTTGGCTTTTATATGCTCAACATATAAAACAAAACAAACTCAACAAACAAAAGCTTTAACGTGCCATACTATTAAATGTTTTATGAATTTGCTTTTATGCATTTTGTATTGCCTTGCATTAGAATACTCAAAAGTTGTATTTGTAGATTTAGGTGAATTTGAGTAATCAGCAATTGAACATTGTTTTGCATTGCTTTGAGTGCTTGACTGCAGAAAATTAATGTATTCTTCTACCCCATCTGTTTGCCCTCTACTCTGCACTGTTTTGCGATTTTTAAATTTTTTTTTTTAAACCTCTGACTTATACACAGAGTCATACATGTAGGGTTCAAAAAAGTCACATGGCCATGGTAAGAAATGTGGCTTATCAGTTATGCAGTTTTGAAATAAAGTCAATACTGTTTTTAATATTATAATATTTTAGATGGTTTTCTCACGTTAGTGCTATCTCTGAATCGACCCCAGTGCGCACTAGATTTAATTCTGGTTACTTTACTTCCGGATCGGCCTTGCTCACATACGCTGCGCATCATTGACTCCAAGCACGCAGAGGCATCAACTGATCGCCAAACTTATTTCTAGACAACGCGCTTCAAGTGTACAGAGCCCTTTAAACACGCACACACGCTTGCTTTCCCCATACACGGTGTTATTTTCTTTCTCCTGGGGGTAAATACACCATGATGGTGGTACACCCATTTGATCCAAATGTCGTCGTTAGACGAACATGTTAAACAGCAGGATCAAAGCTACATTTGATCCGAGCGCTTTTTGTCCTATTTCAAACACTGTAAAACTACGTCGGCCTGAAGTCGTCCGCGTTCAAGTCGCACTCGCGAGTGCGAGAGGAGCCGCTCTGAGATTTCTTGTGCTCTTGGAGCGTGCTTTTTGCGTTGGCGTCGGCGAATGCTCTTTAGGCCCTGACTCCATTGCACGCGTCAGCTTTTACGCGGGTAACGTGTGAAAATGACCTTAGACGTGTGTTCCTGTTTACGATGTACAAACGGCGATGTAAAACATAAGGTTTGTAAAATTACCTATGTTAATGTTTCATACTAAATACCGGAAAAAGCACAATATGTCTTCTTTAATTTCGATTAAACTCCGATAGGCGCAAACATCAAACCTTAATTTTGTGGTTATGCTGTGTTTCTCTCCAGATGTGCGGACCCAGTTGGTGGAGCAGCAGCGCTGTCTGGAGCAGCAGACAGAGATGCGGGTCCAGCTGCTTCAAGATCTGCAAGACTTCTTTAGAAAGAAATCTGAGATTGAAACAGAGTACTCCAGAAACCTCGAGAAACTTGCGGAGAGGTTTATGGCCAAAACACGCAGCACGAAAGATCATCAACAATACAAGTATGTCTTTACATGAGTCTATTTGCTACAGAACTGGTATTAATGTATTATATTATATGATTCTAGCTTCAAATGTATTTAGGAAATGCATACAATATATTACATTTACACTTTTACTTTTTTTCCAGAAAAGATCAGAACCTTCTCTCTCCAGTTAACTGTTGGTACCTGCTGCTAAACCAGGTTGGTCATTTTAAAATTTTGCATAATTAATGAAATATACAAATTAGTTATAACTTTAATGTTTTTGACCCAGGTGAGGAGAGAAAGCAAGGACCATGCAACTTTGAGTGACCTCTACCTGAATAATGTCATCTCCCGCCTTACACACATTAGTGAAGACTCCGCACGGCTGCTTAAGAGGGTGAGACAGATTTACACCAAAACACACCCAAGTCAGATGTGACGCATTTTTACTGGTTATTTTTGACATTTTTGTAACTTACAAAACTAACACAGTGTAATCACCAAGTAGTATATATGACATGATTGTACTCAACAAATCATCACTGCGTCATACGCCTTTATCTGGTGCATATTTTGTCCTTGACCAAGAAGCTCACACCCACATTGATTGTATTATTTTTGTTAGTGGATAATGAGATATTGAGGAGTATATTTGTGAGTGCAAGTGCTAAACATGCAGTGGAAAGTGGCCAATGGTGTGGCAATCGAATTTTGAAAAAGATATTAAAATCTGTCTAATATTGGTTTGTTGGTGATGGTGAAGTTTATATTTCATTCTTCCTGGTTGGACATGGCCAGCAGATGTTACAATGTGGTTAGTGGACCCAAGAGCAGAACACAAATACAAGTAGAAGCCTTTACAAATGTAGTTTTACAGGTGCAGATGTTGGGAGAATTTCACTGGTAGCAGGTAGGTAACTGGGGGGCCAAAGTTCCAGGCATGCAGGCAAGTTGATAACTGGGTGACAGGGGAGCTGAGTCGGAGTTTCAGAGGAGCAGGTAGAATGGACTTGTAGGGACAGTAAAAAGGATACCAAAAAACTCTAAATAGAGCTAAGGTTGAAAAAACTAGCCAGTGACGGGTTACTGCTGACAAACCGGTGAAGACTGGCAGCTGAACTAGGGTGTAAGTATGCTGGGTTGATTGCAGATGGTCCAGAGACAAAATCACAACAGCAGATTTGACACATACAGATATAGTTCCATAATTCTAACCCTAAATAGAAATTTACACCTGACTTGCATTGATGGAATTCAGTTCAGTAAGGAGGGAATCTCTCTTATTGATACTTTGCAGTGACATCACTCATGGGGTATTCTGCACCATGTCTGTGGCATAATGTTCAGCAGTTTCCATGGTGACTCAATGCACACATTACCAAAAACAGGCAAATACATTTTAAGATTTCAAGAAAACATGGAAAATGCATTTAAACAAAAATTTTGAAGTGCCTGTGATCAATATGACAATTCATGGTTGTGTTTAAGTGTTTGATGTTGAACAAAAAGTTAAAAACTGTTGGCTAATGCTAGCTAGCTGTAATGTTATTAGAGCGACTTGTATTAGCAGAAATCATCTCAGCTGTTGTAGTTCCATCTGTTCTTTCTGATCATATTGTGTTAAATTAAATCTCAGGTTAAAATCTAACAACCAAAAACCTAACCTCAGATAGAGCAGTGCATACAGTTAGCGTTACACCCCCAGGGAATGTTGGTGACATCAGCTGCAGAGTATTGTAGCGTTCTGATGTGAGGAAACATGTCAAAGTTGTTCTTGGGCTACTCTAGGCCATAACCCACACCAAAACAAGCGCAAAACAACAGCAGTCTTAATTCAGCAGAGCTAGACTCCTAAGTGACCAATTCACTGACAACAGAAGCTTCACGTCAAATTGTTGCCATGGTAACCAAGCATCAACAACAACAACAACAACAGTTAAAAGAACAACAACAATAACGGTTAAAAGAACAACAACAGTTAAAAGAACAACAACAACAACAGTTAAAAGAATAACAACAACAACAGTTAAAAGAACAGCAACAGTTAAAAAAAGAACAACAACAGTTAAAACAACAACAACAGTTAAAAGAACAACAACAACAACAGTTAAAAGAAGAAGAAGAACAACAACAGTTAAAAAAAAGAACAACAACAGTTAAAAGAACAACAGTTAAAAGAGCAACAACATCAACAGTTAAAAGAACATCAACAGTTAAAAGAACATCAACAGTTAAAAGAACAACAGTTAAAAGAACAACAACAACAGTTAAAAGAACAACAACAGTTAAAAGAAGAGCAACAATAACAACAGTTAAAAAAAGAACAACAACAGTTAAAAGAACAACAACAACATTTAAAAGAGCAACAACAACAACAGTTAAAAGAAGAAGAACAACAACAACAGTTAAAAGAACATCAACAGTTAAAAGAATATCAACAGTTAAAAGAAGAACATCAACAGTTAAAAGAAGAACATCAACAGTTAAAAGAAAAAGAACAACAACAACAGTTAAAAGAAGAAGAAGAACAACAACAGTTAAAAGAACAACAACAGTTAAAAGAACAACAACAACAGTTAAAAGAACAACAACAACAGTTAAAAGAACAACAACAACAGTTAAAAGAACAACAACAACAGTTAAAAGAACAACAACAACAACAACAACAGTTAAAAGAACAACAACAACAGTTAAAAGAACAACAACAACAACAGTTAAAAGAACAGCAGCAACAACGACAACAACAGTTAAAAGAACAACAACAACAACAGTTAAAAAGAAACAACAACAACAGTTAAAAGAACAACAACAAAACAGTTAAAAGAACAACAACAACAACAGTTAAAAGAACAACAACAACAGTTAAAAGAACAACAACAACAACAAAAGTTAAAAGAACAGAAACAACAGTTAAAACAACTAAACAACAAAATCAGTAAAAGAACAACAACACAAAAGTATCAACCTGAACACAAAATGTCACTATGTCACTAACACACTATCAATATGTTTTACAATCCAGTGCTCTTTCTTCTCTTCTCTCTTTTCTTCTTCTTCTTCTTCTTTTTTTTTTCAACATTACATCCATATTAAGAAAAGTCAAAGAAAGACAGCTTGTTCAAATGTTATTTATGTAGATTTGTTATTGTGTGTTTTAAAATCCCTTTTAGTGCTGTACCAGTGAAATGTAAATTGAATGTAAAGTTTAAAAAAGTATAGTCAGTTTTACTCTCTGGGCGTTCCTTTTAATTTGAACAAACAGCTGCCCTCAGCCGCCCAAGTTAAGTTCAGTCTTCATTGCTAATTGCTCTTCCCATTTCTCTTTTATTCATGAAAACTAAAGTGCAGCAACCGCCACAAACAATAAACTGATGGTCCCTCCAACAAAGCCTAACCTCAGCTCTCATTCCTTTACGTTTTGCCAGTCCTTGGTAAAGGATAGATAACAAGACTGGATGATGGTTCTACAGGTCCTGTGACCATGGAGACAGCCTCACTATGGGAACAGGATCCATTCGTTCTGGGATTCCACAGTCATTTGGCATAATGTAATATTAATGCTGCCCCATGCTGCCACATAACTCTTTCGTCAAATGAGTCTGTTTAATGCATGAGGCAAAAACTCTGCTCTGAAGTCAAGCTCTGCTTGTTTCATTTGTGATGTTGCTGTATGGTAAAATGCTTTTATTTACCTGTTATGTGTTACTGTTAAATCTGATGAATGTTTCCCCTATGTTCTTCTCTGCCTTATTAGAGTAAGGAAATACTTTTCCAGCTTCAGGAAGATCTTATGAAGCTTCTGAATGAACTTTATACAGTAAGTAAAAATAATTGCACTAGACTATTTACCACAAAAGAAGTATAACTGTCATTCAAATTAAAGGTGCACTTTATAGCTTTTCCGGTAGGGTGTCTGCCACCTTGTCTCCATGGAGATATAGCTTTGCCTGGAATACTCCACAGTATAGCAATAAACTTAGCAGTCTCAATGGAGAAAATAATGTTGCATTTCTATGTCAGATTTATGGAAATAGGACCCACAGTCATTAAGAATGGATCTTTTTCAAAGTATTTGTTTGGAAAACAATTAATTTAATAAATAAATGTAATTGAATAAATGTAGAATAGACTTTAAAGCTATATGGGTAACTTTCCAAGCAAAGCAGTAACAGATCCATAGACAAGCATGCATTTTATGAGGTTAAAGGTGCTGTTTCATAAGAAACTGCTTTACTTATCATTAGAGGTGTCGTTCTTGGAGTCTAGATATATATTGAAAATGATTATTATTACCTACTTTCACTTCTACTTTTAGGTAATGAAAACATATCATATGTATCATGCGGAGACAATAAATGCTGAAACCAAGTTGCGAGAGGCGGAGCGTCAGGAGGGTCGCGTGAAGGGTGTGTCTGTCACTACTGGAAACGTGGAGCCTGTCTTTGGCTTACGAATAGAAGAGCGACATCAAAGACGTAATGCTGCTCGTAAGATGGAAAAGATGAGAGAAAAGGTATGTAAGCCTGGAAGAAAAAAGTTAAGCTTTGATTTTACTCCATTAATAATTTTCTTTTTTTTTCCTTTTCATTAGAGGAAGGCAAAGTATTCTGAAAATAAATTAAAAGCTCTTAAAGCTAGAAATGAGTATCTACTCACTCTAGAAGCCACTAATGCCTCTGTGTTCAAATACTACATACATGATCTGCCTGATATCATAGACGTAAGTACAATCACTTTTTTAACATTAACATGGCTGGAAGATTTTAGTTGTGTTTTGCTTAATATTCATTTGTACTTCAGTGCTGTGACCTAGGGTACCACTCCAGTCTGAGCCGTGCTCTAAGGACCTACCTATCAGCTGAACTTAGCCTTGAAGCCTCCAGGAGAGCTGGTCTGGAGGTGCTGGAGGGGGCTGTCGAGGGGTTAGACCCTGCCCGCGATCGTCAGCGCCTGCTGGGCCTGTACCCCACTGCCTTCTGCCCCCCACAGCGCTTCAGTTTCCAGGCTCATATGGGGGACGCAGTAAGTGCAGTCTGCTGCATTCTCTTATGCTTCTGTACATCGTTTAATTTGTGTGTTTTTTATGTTGGTTAGGTGACTCAGATTGCCTCACAGCCACAAGTTCAGTCTGAGCTCACCCTTCGCCTCACACAGCTTCAGACACGTTTGGCATCGCTAAAAATTGAAAATGAGGAGGTCAGTCAATTATTTTGGTCAATATATGTATTGTTGTCTTGACTTTGGATAATTATTACAGATCACAATCTCACACATAATAAATGGTAGTTGCCGTAATTGTGATTAATGTTATGGAGCAGCAGTCTTCATAGACAAGGCCGTCATCTATCACCGAAACTGCTGATGTAGTGGATGTTTGTGCATAACTCAGCAACTACAACCTACATACACACATAAGTTTACAGGCACACTAACACTAGCTGGCCTGAATAAACATGCTATAGCGTCCTTATTCAAGCTGGTGGGTAATGAACAAAAAATCTGTAAAAGTAATTTCACATTTTTGCATTGCTGTGTTAGGTTAAGAAGACATGGGGTGCTACTCTGACGACATTACAAGACATGACAGTGCTAGATGACTATGATGTGTCTCAGAGCTTCACCCACAGCCCCTCCTCTGAATCTGTCAAGTCCAGTGTCTCTGACGGATACTTGAACAAACCCAGTCTGGCCAAAAGGCGAGCCAACCAGCACGAGACTGAGCTGTTTTATTTCAATGTTAGTGAGATACTGTTACTACTGTTACTGATACTACTAAGAAAATGCACATCTTCTGTGAGAAATTTTTTTTATTATTGTAATTTCAGAAATTTCGGGAATACTTGGAAGGAAGTAATCTTATTTCTAAACTTCAGGCCAAACATGACATACTGAAGAAAGCCTTAGCAGAAGGTAAGATGTGTGGGCATACCTTTACAGTCAGGTTCATTGCCTCTGATCTAAATATAAATCTTGCGACCACCCTTAACAGGATATAAAGCGGAACTATTAACTACCAGGTAAGTGTGTGGAACAATATCATAAGAAATATGTTAACATAATATTACAAAGCAGCACTTACTACTTACAGTCCTCATCTTCTTGTTCTTTAGCCGTGGGCGAAAAAACTCCCATAGCAAGCACCAGGTAGAGCCACTTTTACATAGTGTTTTTACATGTGATTGATGCTGTTGAATAATGTGTTTAAACCAATGCACTCATTGCCAGTAAAGTTTGTCCCTGTATATTTTAGGATTCAACCAAAGCCATACCTTTGCTAGTGGAGAGTTGTATTCGCTACATTAATTTACACGGTAAGAGAAAAACTGAGATTAAATGTTCAAGCACTGATAGACTATGAAAAAAGATTCTTACTTTTTTAATTTAATTTAATTTCTGTTGTTTTATTTTCATTTCAGTAATATATGCCGATAGAAACCTTTGCAAATCACTGATGTAAATCATTTTTTTCCAGTGTGTGTGTAATTCAAGCCTATTTATCAATAATTAGGCTACTATAATTATTAGCTAGGATGAATATTGAATTGAATTGATTTCCCTAAATAAATAATAATACAAAGCCTACTTTCCACCATTTTCCCTTTTTTGTCAACATTTAACATAATTTAAAATATTTATATGTGTATAAAAAACATTTAAATGCTGTTCTCGAAAGGTCTTCAGCATCAGGGTATTTTCCGGGTGTCAGGATCACAAGTGGAGGTCAATGACATCAAGAACTCTTTTGAGAGAGGTAAGCGATCAGGTGAAAGGTCATAGAGAGGTCACATGGACTACAACTGCAGACAGGTGAAGACAGGATTAACGTTGTCCTTCTGTCGTGCAGGTAATGATCCACTGATTGACGAAGAGAGCAACCACGACATCAATTCAGTGGCTGGTGTGTAAAACTCTACTTCAGGGGTCTAGACAATCCATTGTTCCCCAAGGACCGGTTCAACGACCTCATTTCCTGTGTCCGTAAGTGATGTTAACTCTAACCACATTTAATTACATTTGTTTTAAAGCCACTGTGTCATATCATACAGTTACATCACAGTACAATCACAGAAGCATTGGGCTACCAAATTACTATATATTCATTTAATGTCAACTCAATTTTAAAATATATTCAGTAGTATGTTAAAATGTTTTGATTGATTTTGAGTCTGAGGTGTTGATGCTTTCATATGAGTATTCTGCTGCATTCATGTGGTCCTTGGGATTCTGAAATTAGATGTTCGGTCCGATTTGTTTGCATTCATGTGTTTTTCAGAAAGTCAAGATTTTGATGTTAAAAAAACACTCAATCTGCTCATTAACAGTGTTAAAAAGAGCTAAGCAGTTAGATCTGTTGTTGCAGCTAGCCTTCTACACGTTAGGCTATTTGTTTACTTTGAGTATTTAACATCACATTGGTAATTAATTACAGTGTTGGGTCTTTCTTGTGCAGATCTGTTGCTTATGATATGGATAACTGACAGTTAACCCCTAAATGTTATAACTTTTAGTCAAAAAGCTCTAATGTGTGTGATAAATTGACAAGTGAGCTGATTTTCACTCATGCACAAAGCTGGTAACATCAAGTGTCGAAGACGGGCAGGAGTTCCCTAGTTGTTTTTCCTACTTGTGAGAGTGTTCCTCTGTACCATATGAACGCAGCATTCATATCCGACTAAAGCAAAATATGACAAAGTTAGACAATTCATGTTGTTTCACATTTCAATAAATTTATGCTGAAATAACCTTCTACCTTCTACTTAAGGCTTTGCTGTCACTACACAATTTGAAGACCGCTGAATGCGTTTTAATTATTCAATCCACTCAACACTAAAACTGTAAAGGGAATGTGGTACAAATCGCTGCACCACTTGCTCTGTGTTTTATAAAGCACATGGGTATATATTTTTATCGCTGATATGATAAATATGGAAACTGCTGAGTGTGACAGTGACCTTATCACTTGTCCAGACCCGAGGGTAGAGACTCTCTGTGTAACCTCCCGTGAGTGGCTGCCAGACACCACTGTCACTGATGCTTCTGCAGCAAAACTTACTATCATCAATTCTTTGTTTTGGTTAGTTTTATTAATGTATTGTCTTTCTGAAATGGATCTTCCCTTTAACAAAGATATAGAGCTAATTGGCAACAGATGGTTATTTTTAGATGGACACAGAAGCTATAATAATGGGTAAAATGGGGACAACTGTGCTCAGGCTTTTATATGACTTCGTATTACTTTTTTCTTTGTTTTTCTTTGTTTGTTTTTAATAACTGAATCTTGCCTTTCTCATTTGTTGATTAACACCTTTTAAGCTTTAAAATATAGTGTGGATTGACATAGAGATCTAAGTTATTCATATATATGATAATCTTGGAAATGTCATTGCCCTACAGGTATGGAGAACCTATATGAAAGAGCCCAATGCATCCGTAAAATCCTGATGGGTGTCCAAAGGCCAACATTGGTGGTGATGCGCTACCTCTTTGCCTTCCTCAACCAGTGAGAACAATTCTCAATCAATAATGTATTTTTTTATGTTTGTAATGCAGTACTAAAATGAGTGACCAATGAAAAGCTATGATTCATTTATACTTCTGAAACATATAGTTGACAAAATAATGCTTTGACAAGCTCTGAAATAAATATAGAATGGGCAGACTGGTTAGGCGGGGGGTGCGAACATGATGGAAAACAGCTGTGAGTTTCAGTTGCAGTTACTCAATATATCACATTTATTGACATAGCTGATCTTTGTCTGTTTCTTTACAACTTATTTAACAGTTTGATGATTTAATTATTGCATTTTTGTCAATATTTTTGTTTGCTTCCCCTACAGCCTTTCCCAATACAGTGATGAGAACATGATGGATGCAGGGAATCTGGCCATTGTGTTTGGACCCACTCTCTTGCCCACACCAGATGCACTGGACCAGGTGGCGTGTCAGGCGCATGTGAATGAGGTCATCAAAACGGTCATTCTGCACCATGACAACATTTTCCCCGACACCAAGGAGCTGCTGGGTCCAGTCTATGAGAAGTGTATGACTGGAGATCAGTACTGGTGAGAAAAAAAAAAAGCAATACAGAACATACATTAATTTATATATCACAAGATATTAATATTTATTATTATTATCATTATTATTATTATTGTAGTGGTAGTGGTAGTGGTGGTAGTGATGGTGGTGTTGGTGGTAGTTATGTAGTAGTGTTATGATCATTAGTGTTGTCAAATAAATAATATGAATATTCCTTCAAAAAATTTTAGTTTTTTCCTAAATTCATACATTCACCCTGTGAATGGATGAATCAGACAATGACAATGACCAAACAAAACAAATGACAAAGAGACATACATTCACTTACATTAATGCACTTGGAGCCATATTAATTAATTTACAAAATACACATTTTTGTAAAGCAGGAGGTGCTTAAAGGCAATGCAGAGTCTGGCTAGATACTTAAATACTATATTGATTAAATAATATGGTAAAATTAAGAAATACGCAGGCCAAAAGACTACCAGCTCAATATTCGTGTATGTGCCTCCTCCCTTTGTCTCCATGTTGAATTTCAGTTATCCCTCTGGTTTATACAGCGAGAGCCCCTTCAGCGAGCCTGGCGCTCTGGAGGAAACTGAGCCCGATGCTGGAACAGAGACACAAACGAGTGATGAGGGTAAGCATGACACCTGACCTTCACACACTGGCTCAGCAGGCTCCTCCCTCACACTCCCATGTCTGTGTCTTGCTAGAGTGGTTACCACAGCAACAGCCACCATGGAGACCCCCTTCTCTTGTACCCTCCCTTTCATTGGAATCAATAGCAATGCATGCAGTGTTGTAATTGGGAGCGTTTTGATTCACTGATTATGTTTGGCTTCTGGTTTGTTCCTTTTCAGAGGGTGAAAGTGTGGAGGCAGTTGCCAGGTTTGACTATGTGGGTCGCTCGGGTCGGGAGCTTTCATTCAAAAAGGGAGCATCGCTTCAGCTTTTCCAGCGAGCATCACATGATTGGTGGGAGGGGCGTCACAACGGCAACCATGGCTTGGTGCCACATCAGTACATAATGGTGAAAGACAGGTGAGGGCATCAGAGCACAATGGCATCTTTTTAGTTCAGAAAACTTCAATTTGTAAAACAGTGAGGTAATGAATGAAGTTTATATAATTAACGTTGGCAGTTTAGGCCAATGGGAAGGATTAATGATTAAAGGTGCACTAACTTTTCTAGTGGATGATTGGTCACCTGCTTGTCCCCATTGAGATCTTAGCTAAATATATTAAAACATAAATAATAACAAAAATGTAGATTTGTTCAGTTTATGGTGTTATTTTCATATTGAAAATACTACAAAATTGGCATTGCTATTGAGAAAGGCTTTATTAACTGTTGTCACCTCCGGTGAAGTAGTCACATAATTGCATAAGTGCATTAAACATTGTCAGCGATATCCGCCCATAGCTGATTGTGTACTGTCTAATTTTTTAATATTCATTTATTTTAGCGTGACGTTGTAAAGATAGAATAGGAGCAGAAGAGGCTTCCTTAACACTGTAAGTGATCAGCACTAGCTGGGAGCCATTGTGCACAGAGCCATTTGAATAAATGCAAGATAGATACTTTTTTTTTCCTGAAAAAGGAGAACTTATATATTTTAATAGAATTTGACATTATGTTTTGTGTGTTTTATTGTATAAATAGGGACTGAAAGATTTTAAAGTTTGAATGTGGATTTTGGGGGCAACATAGCTCACCTTGTTGATTGTGGACCAGAGATTTGTTGTATTGGTTGACTGCACCTAATGTTGCCAAAACAGATGTTATGATTGGTCTGTGCTGTTTTCTTTAGGGGTGATTCTATGTCAGATACTCTTAGTCAGAAAGCAGACAGTGACGGCGGGAGTAGCAGCACAGAGGACAAGAGATCCAGAAGTGAAGTGAGCTCACCCACAGACATAAGGCCTCCAGAGACCTATAACAGGTCTGTCATGTAAGACATTTTCCATTATCACAATCATTTTAGCTTAGGTAAGTGTTAAACATGTTTCTCTCCTTCTTCTGTCACCCCTAAAAATATCTGTGAAATTGTTCATCACAGATTTGCCTCATGTGATTTACTTGCAGCATCTAAAACTTCTTCTCTTTTAACAGTTCTACTGATATTGCCAATAGATCAACCACTGCAAAAAAAATTCTAAACAATGTAGTGATATATAAAGTTAATATTGTAACCAATTCATTGTTCAAACTGTTTTACCACATTTATACCATCATGACGTAAGTAAAAACACAATCCACTTCTTAAGTTATTGTCGTGTTTTGGACAGCCATCGGAGGAAGCGCACAGAGGGTTTATTTCGGCGCCCTCTGGGCCGTTCTAATGACAACTACCACCATGGCAATGGAGGAGTGATGGAGCGCAGCTCTCCACCAGTAACAGGGCACTTCAGCCCCAGAGATCTGCTACTGGGAAGAGGGCAGGGCCTAACTCCGCCCCTTGATAGCCCTGAGCACCGACGCCGCTCAGCAGCAGCGGTTACAATGACAGTAAGCCGGCACGATTCACTGAGGAGGCCTGAGGACACACCCATCCGCCGCTCAACCAGTGGACAGCATAGCTTCAGTGACTCTCATCGCACCAGGACACTGGACCATGACACCTTGGCACAGGTAACACACACCCAGACCAGCAAGGTGTATCAATATCTTTTATCTATCTTTTATCAATATATAACGATAACTAATAAAAATATATATATATTTTACATTTAGCCACAATGGTGATATTTTTTCCTGGAAATTCCTCCTTCACAGGACATTGAGGACACAGTTAGCGTGGCTCTGGGAGAGCTGAGGCAGCTGGACCGCCAGAGCTGCAGACCTGCTCCTGATGTTGTCCTGGACACGCTGGAGCAAGTGAAGAATGGGCCACTCACTGCCTGCTCATCAGAGTCACCCAGCCCCCACAGCACCCCCAGCACCCCAGGGACCCCTGGAACACCAGGCACCCCTGGCACTCCAGGAACACCCGGAACCCCAAGCCCACTCAGTCCAATGAGCCCCATGAGTCCACTTCCTGGGCCTCCACCTGGACCTCCCAGAGCCACCAATCCATCCCCTGATGCTCTGAGCACATTCAAGCCAGTGGCAGCTGCCCGCATGGGGGTCCCTCTGAGACCTCCTGCTGTGAGGCCCAAACCTGTGGTTCCACCTAAAAGCAGCACACCACCTCTGCCCCCACCAGTTGACAAGTCCTGCACCATGTGAGCCAAACAAGGCCATTGAATAGGCCAAAATCAGGCCAACCCGGGCCAAAACAGGGCCAGAAGAGGAGATCAGGGTACTGTGAAATGTTAATAATCCACATAATGAGGGTATAAAAGGAAAGACTTCAAGGGTTCTACTGTAGTTCGAAAATATAATATTTGACATGATCTATGATATGTATGATATGATATGCCATGATATTTCTGTGTCGTCAGGTAGGTGTATACTCTCTTGGTGTGTAGGAGTTTTCTTTCTCCATGTTTTGAAATTTTAAGGGTTAGATAAAACAACTGATGAAGAGATACAGGAGTGAGCATAGACTAAAACATTATCATTTAATGAGAAAATGGAGAGATGGAGTGTATTTTACTCAAGTGACATGTAGTTTCAGTGATGTAAATGTGGACTGTGCTGTCATGATGAAAAACCTTAACTGGCTCAAAAGTCTGCTTTGAGAATTATGAAAGATCTCTTTAGCCTTAGGTTGGCTCCATTTTTAGGTTAACTGCTGCAAATGTTTTAAGTGTGGTTAAATCCACAAAATACACAGTATAAATAATAATAAAACAAATACTGTATGTAATATAGTATTTAAATTTATTGGTTGATTTATGTCTTTTCAACTTTGTTCAGCTGCTAAGTTCACTTTCACCTCAAAACCATAAAATGCCTCTTGAGGTTGTCAGTGACTGAAGACACATTATTTAACTAATGTTCAGCTACTTAATGAATGTTTCAAGTATTAATGACTGTTCAGCCATCTACTGAATGTTCAGTGAGTTGTTGAGACAACTTGCTTTTAACCGCCTTCTTGGAGTAAATTTATTTTCTGGATTGGGTGTAATTTTTTGTTATTTATTTATTTAAAATGTGAGTGAATGAGTGCGTATTCTGCTTGCCTGCCCTTGATTGTCTCCCTTGTAAGTTCAAAGTACTAGAATAGTTATAGACAATAGATCATGCCTGCCTTGAGTACCAAAACACAAGTGCAAGATGGTAGAGTAGAGCAAACTGAAAAAGCATGCTACTTTCTCTGTGCACATGGTGTGTGTGTGTGTGTGTGGTGTGTGCGTGTGCGCGTGTGCGTGTGTGTGTGTGAGAGAGAGAGAGAGAGAATTCCTGCTTGTTACACTAAATTCACTAGACCACCTTAAATTCACAGTAAGCTAACAGGGTGGGGCTCTGTATGAGAAATGCCCCTAAAAACTTGAACAGCACAGTGATTGTGGCCTCAAACTGAGCTGGTAACAGATGTGTGTGCCAAAAGCATAACATGACCTGCTGTGATAGGAAGCGAATGTAAGTGGATGCATATGTGAAAGTGCCTTTTTTAATCATTGTCATTTTTTGGGAGAGTTGTGAATCCACTCACGCATGTCCTGAACAAAGAGCAGCAGTCCTCCTAAATAATAATCAAGTGTTGCGTAGATTCTGAATAAATTCATTAATCCATTGTGACATTGCACTTTGATGTATAGGATTGTGTACTTGGCATGTAGCATCATAACATGTTGGTGCATTTTAACTTGAAGAGATATTCCTTTGAATGTGTTTGATGATAAAGAAAACATTTTGTCTTTTAATGTTGCTGTATTTGACACCTGAGCTTCCTACACGTAAGCTCATATAGCCAAATGAATTGTATCATTGTGTTGTATTTATAATATAAATAAACATCAAATTATTAGCATTCAAGTCTTAACGTAATAGAACGTTTGTTGACGATATTTAGCAATGTTTCCCAACCAGGGGCATGGTGGAATATTAAAGCCAGAAGGACATTTCCAAGGAGATAAGCATGTAGAGATCCTTGTGAAGTTTTTCTGTGTTTCTCAGTGCAATAAACCATCCAAAATAACACTACTAATAATAGACTACTGTAGCAACTGACAATATACAAGTACAGTTAACAGATTATTTGATTTAGGGGTACTCAAAAGTGTAAAAAAATGTTTAGTGATTACCCCAGACAAAAAAGGTTGGGAACCACTGATATATAGCACTGATTTAGTATAACATTTGCCATTAAAATTAATGCTGGTACAATTAATTATGCTGTTGCTGTACATTGCACATTTTACTTTTCTTTCTTCAGAGGACATTTTGAGCACATGTACAAGATCAATTAAAGATTAATTAGACTTTTATTATAGAGGTTATGGTATTTTTTCCACACTTAATCAGCCTTACCATATAAAAAATGTTGCTATTTACACCATTTTAGATTTCAATCTAAATATTTTTTAATATTCTCTGAAAGAAAACAAAGTTTAATGTATACACCATTACTGAGGATGTTTATTTTATACTGTAGAATATTTAAGGGATTAACATAAAAGTGAACAATTAATTTAAAACAGCAAATAAAACAATATAAATGATCTATCAAACTATATTTTTGGTAACATAAAATTAAAAAGAAAACATTTAAGAATAAATTTTTCACATACCAGTTTTCACTAGGATTTCTGGTTAGATCAGCCTTTTGAACCAGGTTTTAGTGTGCTAAAAGGTTTGGAGTTCCTTAGAGAACCTGAGATCTCCTGCAAAAAGGCTGTGATATAGAGATCTTTCTCTGACTTCCGGCCATCAAAGATGACCACCAGAGTGAAGTGAGGCTCAGGCCGTGTTAGATAGTAGGTACTTTGAACTTTATCGTCATAAAAATGTACTACCTTTTCCAGAGTATTAAGCTCTCCAGCTCTATCTCCCATCATCATGATAACGTTTGGCCAGTGGGTCAAAGGGCGCTCGCCTGATGGCAGTGACACTACTGCAGGAAACTGCTCCACACCTTTAGGTGCTTCTCTGTAGGACTGTGGGTGATGATAACCATGCCCCTGGAAGCTCTCTGAGCCTCGGTTATCAAAGACCAGAGACACATTGCTGGCATCATGTTTGCGAATGAAAGAGGAAATCTTTCCATGATAGTCTGGTGTAGTGCGGGCAGTCAGTGTTTTCATGTCCGCTGGAGTAGTTTGACGGCTCAGAGCTTCATGAAAATAAAAACTGAATTTGGCAAGGAGAGCTGCATAGAAGCGCTGGAGCCACATGTACAAATGAGGGGGCTGTACAGCCTTCTGAGATTGACCCCCAAAAAGATTCTTACGGGTTTCTTTTTGTTTCTGGAAAAGCTGACCCCAGGTGTTAAGTTTTGAATGGGCACCATGCAGGCTAAGCAGAGATGGCAAAAAGTGCCACTCTGATATCTGGGCCTGGCAACGAAGTAACTGGGTTACCACATCAAGTTCAGTCTGGAAACCTTCCTCGAGGCGACCAACTATGGGATGGTGAAATCTGAGGAAAGACAAGGCAAACATACACATTTTATGTGAAGACAAATAATCTGATTTAAAGGTTCTTCATACACCTAAAGTATGTTGAATAAAGATGCATACTTAGAGCTGTATTTGTGTAGGACTGTCTCCAATGTAGTGATCAGTTCTTCTAAGTTGATATTCTTCTGAGCACCCAATGAAAGCATCTTTTCATACAAATCTGCCATCTCTACACGAGCCTGTGTGAAGTAGCACAGCTGTTCTGAAAGATGAGACAGTAGATCCTCCAGGAATGAGGTAGAGCTTGACTGAGCGTGCCGACCCATAGTGACAACTTTGCGCAACTCATTGTGCAAAGCAGTGTAGATTGTTCTTATTGAATCTTTCCGACTGAAGAATGACTGTCCACCTGTAGATAAAATCACACCACTGCAGCCATTAAAAAAAAATAAATAATATATATATATATATATATATATATATATATATATATATATATATATATATATATATATATATATATATATATATGTACATACATGTTTTTGCCTACTAGCCCCACCTGCTGCTGAAAAAGCTAAACTACATTAATACATTAACTCTGCAAATGATAAAAGGCAGTTATAAAATACAAAATATATTTCGTGTTCAATGAAAAGTGAACATAATCCCGCACAACATACCTATTTTTTGTCCCAAAAAAGTCATGTTGTGGTAGGCTTTTTCTGCGGCGGCCAGATGGGCCAGAGCAGCGAGCAGAGCGGCCCACATTGCTCCTGCACTCCTGCTGCTGATGTCCTTCTCCCTCTCCACATAGTCTTTGGCTCGATCAAAAGAAAAAATACCGAGCTGTGTGAAATAGCTCTCTAGGATGGCTCTCTCCCGGGGAACGGGCCGTTGCTCCTCCATGTCACTCATGTATTCAGATTATATACTACAGTTGGTTGCAACACACAGTAAGCTAACTTTAGCTAGCTTTCGCTGTTACGTCATTTAATAATATATAATATATACAAGTGTGCAGCGCTCGCACTTTAATTTACTAAGGAAACAATGAAGTATTATGCTAATTTGCTTACTTTCATACGATTAAGGAAAACATATCTTAACCGATCCTTACTAGCGATACCGACCTGACATTAATGAAACGCCATACTGGATGTAAACATTACGGAAACTCTAGAGGAACAATATTCGTTTTTCTTCTACGAAAGAGGACAATATAATTATACATTTGTAATATTACCCCTACCCATGACTCATACTAGTCAGGTTAACCTACAGTTGTGACATTGAAACAAACAAACAAAAACAAAACAAACAAACAAACACGATGCAAAATATTTGAATTAATCCTAATAGTCAGTTTGATTTATTTTATTTTTTTTTTAAAAGGACAATTCAAATGTTTGACTTAATTTATAGTGAAACATTTTGCCCCCATGTAACTGACTTGATTATTAATGCATAATTTTTTAATTTTTTATTTAATTTTATTTCTTTTAAGACGTTACGCAGCTCATCCAAGTAGTTTCTTCAGTTCTGGTCGCATTGCCACTGGACACTGCTTTATCTGTCTGAAGGAAGGAGCTAACTAGACTGAAACTAACCCGCACCGGAGCAATTTGTTTACAGTTTCTGTTTGTTAGCTAGGCCAGTTGAACTATAAGAAGTGTGAACTGTGCCTGAGTCATATTTGCATAATTGTTCAGACCACTAATGGGCTATATTACACAGGTCTGACTAGTAACCTATAGGGACAGTCCTAGTTCTGAGCCCTGCGTCCCTTGACCTACCAGATGCCTTGCATCTGACCCTATAGTTCAAGTAAATATTTTTTTTAGATAGTACTTGGTGTGAAAAGTTTAAGAACATCGTTCTAGGCTATTTCCCCTATACGTTTGACCATGGCAAATTACAAGTCCATTGAATAGGTTATTTGTGTTATACACTTGAATATGTTACACCCTCCTTATGAACCCATAATGTATTTTCCCTCTCACACTTCACGGGGGTGGATCTTTCTTCTTAAAAACTGCGCAAGTGCCTCAAAAGAAGCACAGAAGGTTTTCCTCCTCATCCTCCATGTATCTTCTTTGTAACCCAGTAGGTAAGCATTTTAATTATTGTTTGTTAATGTTGTTGTTTATTAGGTCCATTAATGTAACAACCCTGAATAGATTCTTTCTTAATGGGTTATTGTAAAAGAGATATTGTGCCTTCAAGACAATTAAAGGTGCTTATTTTACGCAGTCATTCATTGCAAAATTGTATCAGTTTTCTTGTACACTTCTCAAATTGAAATATAGCTTTTTTATATATATATATTGTCAATGTGTTGTTTGTGTCTTAAATGATTTGTATTATTGATTCAAACATTTTAAATGTAAAACAGAAAAAATAAACAAGAAATTATATTACAACATACAACTACCTAACTACCTAACCTAAATATTATCTTAACAAATTATAAAGATATGAGACTGTTGGTAGAACATTTTTGATCTCACAGTGGAGACAACCTGGCAGCATCTCAGCCATTGGTAATACAGTGCAAACTGTAAATCAAGGTGAGATAAGAAAGATAAGAAATAGTAATACATAATAAAAAGAAAATTGGAGTATCAAGTTTATTATTACTTCTGAAAGAGTCTCCAACAATATGTTCATGTATTTTTATATTAACATGCGTTTTACTCATTTTTGCTGGCTTGATTTACATAACTAAGCCCCTACTACAATAATACCCAATTATAAGAAACTGTCCCCAATCACAGGTGCTCTACTTCTGTTATATCTGTTATTAAAATCAAAAAGTCATACAAATTTCATATCTACATGACAAAGTATTGAATATCAGAAGGATACTGCGGGGAAGCTGGCCTGACGTGGTCGAAGTAGGAGGCAGACTGGTCTGGTCTAAGTGTCTTAGACCAGACAATTAATTCAAATAGACTTCCGGTAATGTAATGTGAAATGTGCAAACAAATAAACAGAACATATGTAACTTTAATTAAATCACACCAACACCGTACACCTAACTGCAAAAAAGTCTCTTCCCCCAATGAAATAAAACAGGCTGCTTATATACACTCTCCAGCAGGTAGGCCCTCTCGCAGGTAAGAATCATTCCCTTAAACAGAAAAAACTCTGAAGCTAGCCTTTTCCATTTACATGGGCCTAAGTTTCTTAGATCAAAGTATTCAACATCAGTTAAACACTAAAATTATTAACCCAAATACACGAAACAATAAAACAAAAAAGAACTGAAACCAATTCTCCACTCCACATGGTCTGGCCCAAAACCTCCCCTCAGAGACTGTAAATATGGCCGTCCTAGGGCATGCCCCCTTGTCTCCAGACCATGTGGAGTAACAGGTAAGTAGGTAAGTGTAGTGAATATGGATGTAACTGAAATGAATTAACAAATAAAGAATATTTAAATTAACAATGTGTTGTGGTAATTGAACAAAAGACCCCAGAATTATATGTCTAACTGTATTGATAGGATATTGAGAAATTAACAAAATGTGTGAAATGAAACAAATGTGAGTTTAAAATGGGACAAAGGCCCACTTTGTCACATGTATTTTCTTCACCTACTTATTTATTTTTTATGTGCCAAAAGATTTTTGATTATTCTAATAAATAAACATGAAATAACATAATAAATATTTCATTATGTCTCAGATATCCACAAATCAATCAAAATTCAACTTTTGGTTGATCTATTTGAAGAATAACTACATATAAAACAATGACTGGTTACATGGACACTGAAAGCAGATTTTTGGAGTCATTACTCTTTCTTTCAAGTTAAAAGTGCACTGTATAACTTTTCTGGAAGGGGTCCGTAGCCTGTTTGTCTCCATGGAGATGTTAATGCTTTGGTTGAAAGTCTTTACAGTGTGGTTTTAAACTAATTTGTCTTTCATTTATTCAACTACAGGTGCTATTTATTGCTCAAAAGTATCTTGAAAAACATCCATTGTTAGTGTGAGGAAATAAACTGCAATAAACAAAACAAAATATCACAATTACAGTTTATTTTTTATAAACATTTTAGCATAATTTCTATTGCGTTTATTGTGATAGAAACTTTTTTGAAACACTGGTAGGCCGCTTGGGCTAATATTATTGCTTATGGTGATATAATAGGAACTGTAAATTTAGGTACCTTTTTCTGTAATTAATTAAGCTTTAAATATTTAAGTATACCAAATTACATTTTGACCCATGATTTGTATATTTATTTTACCAGCCAGATTCTCAGTTATGAAACAACACAAAAGTCACCATCGATTGAAAATGAAAAATGTTTAGAAATGATTTCCACTGATTATTTAAATTAAATCAGATTTAAAGTAGAAAATGTGTGTTGACAAACCTTTGTTTGCCTTACATATGGAAATACACATGACAAGATGCTTCCCTTAGTTGTCTTAAACTGCATGTCACATATATAGTCACCTATAGTCCCTTTCATTTCAGAAAGTCAACCCATATATTATATAGATTAATGACACATGGAGTGCAGCTTTCAAGCCTTTATGTCTTGATATTTTGATGATTATGGCTTACCGATAACAAAAACCAAAAATTCAGTGTCTCAGAAAATTAGACTAGTGTAAAAAAGAAGAAGATCAGAAAGTGACTGTGTCATACCTTAATCAGATTATTAAGTGAAAATGCCTGCAAAGGTTTCCTGAGCCTGGTCTCTCGGTGGGATACACAATCATGGGAAAGGCTGCAGAGTGGACTCCAGAAGACAGTGACTGACACCTTTCACAAGGAGGGTAAACCACAAAAGGTCATTGCTAAAGAGGCTGGTGGTTCACAGATTGCTGTATTCAAGCATAGAGAAACTTGAATGGAAGAAAAAAATGTGGTAGGAAAAGGTGCACCAGCAAAAGGGGTGGCCACAGCCTTGAGAGGATTGTCAAGCAAAATCCACTCAAGAATTTGTGGGAGCTTCATAAGGAGTGGAAAACTGGACTGTTGTCCAGTTGTCCAAAATCTTGTTTTCAGATGAAAGTTTTGACATTTGACAAATGACATTTTGCATGTCATTTGGAAATAAAGGTTTCAGAGTCTGGAAGAAGAGTGGAGAGGTACAGAATACACGTTGCTTACTTGTGAAGTTTCCACAGTCAGTGATGCTCTGGGCTGCCATACTGGTGTTGATCCGATGTGTTTTCTGAAGTCCACAGTCAACACAGCCGCATTTGCAAGCACTTCATGCTTGCTCTTGCTGACATGCTTTATGGAGATGCTGATTTCATTTTCCAGCAGGACTTGGCACCTGCCCACACTGCAAAATTTACCAACAGTGGCTCAGTAACTATGGTGTTACTCTGCTTGATTGGCCTGCAAACTCACCTGACCTGAACCCCATAGAGAATCTCTGGGGTATTGTCAAGAGGAAGATGAGATACAACAGAACCAACAATACAGATGACCTGAATACCGCTATCAAAGCAACCTGGACTTCCACCACACCTGAGCAGTGCCACAGGGTGATTGCCTCCATGCCACAGTGCACTGATGCAGTAATTCATGCCAAAGGAATGCTGAGTGCACAGAAATGAACATACTTTTCAGAATCTGACATCTCTGTTCAAAATGTAATTTTTTTTATTGATCTTATGTAATATAAAATTTTACTGAGACACCAAATTTTGGGTTTTCATTCTATTTTATTCTAATCTATTAGCCACAATCATCAAAATTCAAGAAATACTCTTGAAATATTTAATTATGTGTCATGATTGTATATAATATATAGGTCTGACTTTCTGAGATGAGAGAGAGAAAAAAAATAACCTTTTCATGATATAACAAAATTATTATTATTATTTTTTAGATGGACTAGTGAGTGTATCAGTCTGCTTTGTTTGAGTCAGATTTAGTCAGACCAGTAGCCTGTAAACAGTGTAACTAAAGAATTGCATATTTCCCGTTATGGTACACAGAGAACAAACATTTCCATTTTTTTTTTTTTTTTTTTTTTGGCTCCCCCACAAACCAGTTCCATGTAATCAGACAAGTGGTCTTGCATTGTGTGTTTTACATGTGACACGAAGTCTCAAACTCTAGAGCTTTTAATACAATTTAGGATACGGATTAGAAAACCAATTTAACTACAACTATAAAGTCCACATGTGACCTGATGTACACAGTGCACATTTCTATTTTGGGTTTATCTTGGGTCTTATTTTAATAGATCCACACTATGGGTGATGGTCATGTGATCATGTGGTGTTTACGGAAGTTGGTCCGTCAACAAATGACACCGCCTTTCCCTTCGCTGCATGTGTAGAGTTCCATCAGGCGTCTGCGATGGAAAATCGAAGAAATCAATTTGGGAAAAGTATTTGGAACTAACATTGGCCTTTATTGGATCAATTCATAACGATATCACTTACGAATCATCGAGTTAATGTGATTAAATCGGCAAAGCTCGTCGAGACGCATATAGTTAATCATGGCTCCGGAGGGCACTGGTGAGTCCGCCCGTCTCTTTATACAACTAGTACAAGATCATGAAATAAACTTTGTCTTTGCAAATGAGGCAGGAGGCAGAAGTGAGACTCTCACTCGGACTGTCGCCCAAGCCTCTAGACTCTTGACATACTTTACATTAGTTAATTATACAGAATTAATTTTAAGGTCGGGTCAAAAGGATCATGCCTACCCGGGAGTGCTCTTTATAAGCCAAGATCAAACCCACGGGCACTGTGAATTAAATCTGAGGGATCTCGTTGCAGAATTTTCTGAAAGCATTCGTATTCATAATACGTGTGTCTGTGAAATGTTTAAAAAAACCCTTATCCCCAACAAATACTTTGTTGTATTTAAACACGTCACTTTTGAACTTTAAAATGTTTGAAAGGCCTCTGTGTATCACAAACGGTCTCTGTTTGTTTCCAGGAGTCCTGTGTCCTATTTGTTAACATGGAAACAGATAAGGAGCTGCTGTTGAAAGAGTACATCAAAATGATGACTGATATGATTGTGTTGTGTTCCACTCTGGCACTGTCTCTTTTCTTCTGGGTCCTCTCCCTCACTATCAGCACTTACTATGGTAAGCTCAGATCAGCTGTTTCAGCACCACAAACGGATGGTTGGTATGAACCATAGTAACCCTCTTAAAATACTCAATTGTTTTTTTGTGTGAATCTGAGTCATGTGTTCCTTTTGATTTCTGTCCTACATTCTCAGACCTTTTAGAGCAGCTGTAGATTTCATTTCTAAAGTAAAAGTTAAATTACAAACTGCAGCCCTCAGCCTTGTAGACATTTAAAATGTCTACAGAATCACATGAACCACATGTGTAAAAAAAACTGTGTCATACTGCATCTTACTGTGTTTGCTCTGTCACAGGTACTCTGCAGCCTGTCTCTCCATGGAGATGGTTGTTCTCTATTTTAGTTCCACTTGTGCTGACCATTAGAGCAGTGAAGAGGCGTAGCCTTGATGGGTCGGGAGCCCTGGGAGGTATGTATGTGTCAAAATGTGTAATTGCAATTGTGTCATTAAAGATTTTAGATTTTACTTCTTCAGCATTTTAATAGATTAAAAAACCATGTGGACCACAATGTTTACGCCATAGCAAAAAACTAAATCTAATTGCAATGTTCCCCTTTACTACAAAACACAGGGCTTTAGTGGGAAAAGCATGTGAAAGAATTTGAATTCATCATAAATAATTCATACAAACTCAAAGAATTTATTTTTGGGTTACCAAATGCACAAACTGCATTCATGGACATTTATGAAAAGATTAACTCCATCATATTTTTTGTCTGGTAAAATATACCTTGTTGATTTTAGCTCTCTTCGTGGGCTTTGTCCTGACAATGGCGAACTACAGCTTCTTCTCCGCTCTTTTGGCTTTTTTTATTACATCATCTAAACTGACTCGCTGGGGGGGAGCAGAGAAGAAGAAAATTGATGCAGAGTATAAAGAAGGTGTGGACAGTGTTTTGTAATAACCCCACTTTTGACCAAAAACATAATGTAAATTGATGTGTTATTAACTACAGGTGGCCAGAGAAACTGGGTTCAGGTTTTCTGTAATGGTGGTGTACCCACAGAGCTGGCTCTTCTTTATATGATAGAGGTAAACCTAAATGTCTGCTGTTCACCTGAAAAATCTTGTGTATTTGTATTTGTGTATTTTTTACATACTTTTGTTTTGGTTTAGGTTGGTCCAGGTGAGATCCCTATAGACTTTGGAAAGCAATACTCTGCCTCTTGGATGTGTCTGTCTTTACTGGGGGCTTTGGCCTGCAGCACTGGGGACACTTGGGCATCTGAGGTTGGTCCAGTCCTGAGTAAATCCAAGCCACGGCTCATCACAACCTGGGAGGAGGTCCCAACAGGTATGTTCCCAATTAAGCAGCAGACAGTCTCTCCTATATGGTAAAGTGGTCAGTATTAAATGTGTTGGTAATCACCCTTTAATATAACAAATTGCAATTTTTACGCAGACTGAAGCAAACAAGACAACTTTTTTTTTCCAAGAATGAACTACTGACAGTTGAATCCTTTCAGCCTCTGTGAAAGAGTGCTTTTACAGAGGAGTAGTCCCGAGACTAATATGTACCGGAAAGTAAATTTAGAGGGATTCTTCTTGAAAACCTTCATAGACAGTGCCATGTCTGAGGACTGTATAATAAACCCTATACTAGAGCAACTGTATTTTTTATTTTTTTTTAGCTGCCATTATAACCAACAATGTACCAACAATTAACATGTTATATTCAATTATTATCATAAGAAATTGTGCCAAACCTCATGAAAATGTGCTTAATATATCCTTTACTTTTAAAGTTTAAACAATATTCTTTGTATTTCAAAGGCACTAATGGAGGAGTTACCCCTATCGGACTGGTTGCCAGTTTCTCTGGTGGACTGGTAGTAGGCGCTGCATATTTTGTCACGCAGCTTCTTTTTGTTGGTGATCTTCACCTGGCCGACCCTCAGTGGCCTATCATTGTTTACGGAGGTGTAGCAGGACTGCTGGGTTCCATGCTTGACTCTTTTCTTGGAGCTAACATGCAGTATTCTGGTAGGAGTCACTTCAATGTTCTGCTGACTCGCTCTACTAAGGATTTAATAATGGTATTTTTACTGCTATTTTACCACAGGTTTTGACTCAAGCATCGGAAAAGTTGTAAGTTATGAGTCCACCACAACACAGAGGATTTGTGGGAAACCGATTCTAGACAACAACGCAGTGAACTTGTTTTCCTCAGTTCTTATTGCGCTCATCTTGCCTGGATTAGCCTGGGGTGCTTGGCCACGATAGAAAAATAAAGACAACTAATACAGCATTCACAAGCACATTCTGAATGGTCCATTACTATCCTGTAAAAAACATCAAAACCAGATGGTTTTGTATACTTTGTTCATGTTTAAGTAATCTTTGCTGTTGAATTTTTGTGAGCTGACCCAATTGAATCCCTCTAAATTCAGCCTGTGCCAATTATATCATATGTGTCTTATTTAAAAGTTTTATAATGTGTAGGACTTTTTCTACTTTGTGAGGAGTACCTTTAAATAATCAGATATTGCCTGAGAGCATATGTAATGCAGTTTTAAAGCCAAGATTGGATTTAGGAAGGCAAAGAAGAGCGTATAGTATGCCACATAATGAACGTTTGTACTTTTTTCAATAATGACTTCAAAAACAAGTGTTTATTACAGTGTTCTACAAACATTTTCCACCTTGCAGTATTTGTCAATTGTGTTGGAATTAGATATCTGGATTAACTGTCTGACAATAGCCACACTGACAAGTTAATCTTCATACTTAAACTTAAAAAGTTTTTATTTTATTTCTGTGTCAGAGAGAAAAGGCACTAAACCAAATCAGGAAGTTTGATATTGAATAAAAGGGAGTCAGATGGGGAATGCTCAGATTATTTACACAAAGCAGTCTTACAAACTTGGTGTACATGACAGCATCTGTATATTGCAGACCAGTTTCTGTGGCAACTATTCATTCACAAATTAGCCTCGTTTCCAGACACCTGTGCGGGATGGAACGGCACGGACCCTGAGTGTTTCCACTGCATAAAGCAATCCGTAACGCCCTCTACCGTCCAGAGTGGACCAGAATGGTTGGGACCTGAGACAGGCTCACAGAAGGCAAGGCTAGTCACGCCCCAGCGCAGTCACTGGATGACCAGCAGCACGCCAATAGTGCGAACCATAATGTAACTGTAATTTAACAATGGCGTAGAATCCATCGTGTCTACGCCATCAGGGGTGTCCAAACTTTTTTCATCAAGGGCCACATATCTAAACACAGACGAAGCAGAGGGCCAATTGAGGGCTGTAGAATGATGCTCAGTACAGGGAATAATTGAGATGTGTGTGTGTTTAACACGTTAGAATGAGGCATCAGTCTTTATTCATGCTAAGATCCTTAAAACCACACACTAAATATGAAATATTAGCTTTATCAAGGTAGATTTTCAAAAAAACTTGCAGTAAAAAATAATTTTTCAATTGATGCAATGTAATTTGGGCCAATTCACCTGGAAGTCTGAAGGCCAAGAAAAACTTGTCTGAGGGCCGCATTTGGCCCCCGGGCCATAGTTTGGACATGCCTGTAGCGCTCACATACCGGTAAAACAGAAGAATTGAAGAAACAGCGTGCAGTTTGAAACTTATATGCGCCTGAAAACACGTCCAGTCTCCAGAAAGTGTTGCACATCATAAAACAAAACAAAACAAAAACATATCCAGTCAAAGTCTGCTGTGTCCGCGTAAAGTTGATGCCAAACAGATAACATGGAACAAGCTCTGCCAACTTCATCTTCCTTGGGAAAGACGTAATTCCCAAATGTGGTGTACATTTCCAATGTGGAGCGTATGCGCGTGAAGATGCAGCCCAACGAAAGCGCATAAAGTTGGTAGTAAAACGGTAAGGTTATCAAACCAAGAGCATGTGCTCCGTGGCGACTTTGCGGGAAAACAAAAATTAAATTTAAGCGCGTGACTCCACGTGAGGACCAGCGGTGCGCTCTGGTTCGTTTTGAATGCGCATTTGATTTGACTTTATTTTAGAGCATCGATCAGTGTTGATGCCCCCTTAGTTTAGCTCTGGTCTTTCGACAGCTGTCCAGCGGCTTGTGGCCGCTATTGGTTGTGTCGTGCTAGACCTGCCCAAAGCGGCCTGGGCCGATTGTAATGGAAACGCTCCACGGGAGCGAACCGTGCCAGTGGCAATGAGGCCATTTATAAACATCATACGTCAGTTCATGGTAGCATTCAATGCATGCCTTTATCCCAGCATAAATAACAAATAAATAAATGATTAATATTCTCACCTGCCACCAATTGTTTGAAGAATGCATTTCTATTCAGCTCCCTAAAAAAATATTATTTTACATTTTGCACCCAACATATGCATTAAATAAAGCAAAATGTGTGTTTAAAGCTAATCATTTGAAATGTTGATTGTGGAGTCCGTATGAGGACTTAAAATACATTTTTCTCTAAAAGGCCACCACACACTACAGGATTATTCGGTCTAAAGATTTTTTAACATGCAACAAAAAGTGCACACTACAAACCCGAGAAGACTCTTATGACATTTTAAATCTCCCAAAGACTGCAGGGAGATATGTCTGCAGACCACAGGCTAAAGCTGTGAGCACATTCGCGTCAGCCGTTTCCAATCTAGAGCAAAATGACTTAATTTGAGACTCTTAAGACTCAAAAGAGCTGAGCACTGCACTTTTAGTCTAGATGTGAGTCAAAACTGTATTATTATTTGTGAAATGTAGTGCAATACTTCAGATACAAGATTTGTAATGCACAGAAGGCTGGCGATAAAGTACACACTATGTATCGCTCATCTGCAGCTTCACCTCGTTTCCACCGCTGTGTGGATTTAAACAGGCACCCATGAGGAACTACTCTCTATTACTCACCTTTTTCAAAGAATGCCTCAAACTGGATTAGCGCTGTTTTGTGAGCTGGGTGTTACTATTTGCAGAGGACAAATTCTATGAATATAAATAAAAATGCTGCAGTTTAACGTTACAACTTTAGGAGCGGAGAATACTAAAGTTGCTTATTATTTTAGCCATTTTCTGAGCTTGTATCTTGCACCTCTGTGTCCGTCATTCCGTCGCCCTTGATGCCCTGTTTTATTGGCAATTACCGTAACGTTGCCTTACGATCTAACAGAGCAGCCCAGAGTCACACTAACACACACGAGGACCACAGCGGCTTCAAAATCACATACAAAGACACAAAGTCGGGTCATGCCTCCCCGAACTCTGGTAAAAGCAAATCGCAGCTAAAATCGGGCAAATTCTCCTGTAGTGTGTGGTGGCCTTTTACCACCAATAAAATTCATTAACTTTTCTGCAGCAAGACATTATCTTAGGAAAGAATTTAAAGTACTTTTGATACTTTTTTTTTTTATAATCATTTACTTGGTTGCTCCTTTAAACATTTTTATTCACTTGGGTTTGCTCACTCATTTTAAATAAAAAGGTCCAAGACTGTGGGGCTTTTGTGAGATCAACACAAACTTTTGTATTGTTTTTGATTTGTTTGTTTTTTGCAAAGAGGAAGGACATCTGGTAAGAGTCTGTGATAATTGTAGAGATTTCTCTTTGTAGTGCTTTGTCAGTTCACAGTTCATCTTTGAAGTATCCAAGCTTGGCTTGAGACATTTCTCTGCGAAGCTGCATCACCTCCCAAAACATCTGCTCAGCTGCAAAACAAATATTATACTGTAATTTTGTTTGTTACATTTTTATAAATCAAATTTAACAGCTATTAAAAGAAATATGTTGAAAAATAACCATAGCAATAACTGACATGTAGTGTTAATCCTAAAAACAATAAGTTAAAAAGTTTACAATAAAAACTACTTGTTACTACTACTATGTTATGTCTTACCATCCTGCTGCTTGACCAGCCCTTGGTGAATATATCGCACATAAGTGAAGAAGTTGCACACCACTGTGATCTACAGGAAAAGACAAACAAATGTGTTAAACAACTAAAAGATTTCAGAGGTTTACTGTATTTTGTTTAAAAAAAATAGTGATATATAGCTGAGATACTCACTCTGTATCTACAGTAGGGAGATACATAGTAGTAGTTGGATGAATCTCCAAATTTGATTCTGTGCTTACAGGTTTTGGTCTGACCACTCAAGGCGCATTTTCTATAAAGACAAACAAAACATTGCACAGGGTATGTTTTAGCTCCTGACTAATTTTAAAGCTACAGGCAGGGGGCTAAAATCAAGGAAGAAGCAAAGTCAGGATAGATTAAGGTTTTAGTTGGGATGTCTCATGATTAGAACCTAGTCATAAGAACAGATGGCCTAAGGAGGTTGGGAACAGCTGAGGAAAGACTTAAAATGGGGTTGATGACAGACTTACGTGATGAGCTCAGCCAATCGCCCACTAGAGAGGAAGAGTGCAGGAAGACGGATAGATGTTGAAGTGTGAAAGCCTGCATGTACGTGTGTGTGCATGAGTCTTACTTTGGTCCACCACACTCCACTGCTGAAGCTTTAACCACAGGTAAGGGCTGGAAACCCACTGGCTCCACACTGAGAGTGTTCTGCTCCACAGCTTCCAGGATGGCTGCACCCAACTGTCAGAGACAAACAGCAGAATATTTACCTGGTTTCCCATTTGGCATAACGAGCTCCATGCTATACAAATCTAAAGAGAATATTCATCACTGTCCACTTTCAAATTGCACCTTAAAAGGTCTTGTACCCTATTTTTTTCATATATTTGATGCAAGATTTGTCCGAGTACAGATATAAGCTGCAGTGATGGCTAGCCAATAGAGGGCGCAACTGCGCCGCACTCCCTAAGGCTACATAATTAGTTTAAAATTGAGTGTGTATCTGCATAGACATTTTTATAATGCTAAATGTGGTATACCACTTTATTTGATTCATGTGTTTACCCTTTGAGTTCACTGTGTTGGAGCAGACTGAATGAAGTTCTACAAGAGAGCATGAAGTTTTGAGAAAATTGGACATCAAAATCTGGCTTCTGCTGATTACTTTTGTAAGGATACTTGCCATAATTTGCAGCAGTCATTGTGTGATTTCAGTCACTACAGTGGTAATATAGTGTAGCTGTTTTATATTTGGCAAGAAAGAGAGAACATCATCCTCTTTGGCTTGAGAAAAACACAACTGTGCAGCCGTTTATTCTGTGCATGTCGATAGCAACTTTAGTGCATGCAGGCACTCATGCATTTTCATGACATCACTATGTAGGTTATTAAACATGACTTTGCCCATATTATTAAATACGCTCAACAACTTTACATTTCAGCCCTGACGTATGTCGTAGCTTGGAGCACAGTCAAATACCAGCATGTCAAAGCCTGATCCCATCAGATCTCAGAAGCTAAGCAGGCTGGGCCTGGGTAGTACTTGGATGGGAGACCGCTAGGAATTCCAGGTGCCACAGTGGGGCGCCAGTGGCAAAAAACTGTCGTTGTGTCCTTAGGCAAGACACTTCGCCCACATTGCCTAGTATGAAAGTGGTGTATGCATGACTGATGGTGGTGGTCGGAGGGGCCTCGCTTCAGTCAGTCTGCCCCAGGGCAGTTGTAGCTACAATAGTAGCTTACCACCACTGAGTGTGGAGTGACTGAATAATGAACTGTGAAGCGCTTTGCGTATCTTGAAAGGCGCAATATAAATGCAATCAATCAAATCAAGGGATTGGTCTTCATAAACGTTTATGACACACCTGACCATTTGTGATTCAGTGCGGTCACGCTCTCCTGCCTAGCCCCAACTTTCCTCCACTGGCAGCATGTTAGGCTAATGGATAACAACAGTGCTATGTGCTACACAACAGAGTTTTGGTGAGTTCAACTTCAATTCAAAGTGCATCTGAGGGAGAATGATGTGTCTTCTTGCTTGGCAGAAAGTTCCATCTGAACAGAAAAGCATTAAGATGAAATGCATCTGGGTGCAGTGTATATCCTACGGCTTCTATTTTTCATACTGGCTTGTGGCGGCTAGTTATTTTCGCCTAACCCTGCACAGGTGAGAGCGCAAGAGAGACACTACAGCCCCGCTCATCAGAGTAGTGGATACAGAAACACTTGCTAGGAGAGTGCGGGGGAGGGACCCCACAGCCCCGCCGCTGGGCCCACAGCACTTGCCGTTCACCGCTTGCTGCTCTATCAGTCACCACCCGCTCATTTCTAGGCAGGGAAGTTACACCTGGGTGTAGCATACAGAGAGTTTACCTGTACCTGGTGCCCTAGTTGTAATACGGACTGGTGTAACTTTCAGATTTAAGCGAGAAGAAGGATTAAGGCTAGTTTTGCGACCAGCTGGTGCACCTGAGTGGACCGAGACTTGGTCCAATTTCATCTCTTCATATGGGACAATAATACACTTTTGGAGACAGAGCTAACAGGACAGCAGATAGAGGATACACTCTGCTTCAGTCCTCTGGAGAAGACAAGATGAATGTTTTTGTTAGTTTTAGGTAAATTTGAGGACAAAGCCTCACAGTTTTGGGTACATGAGCTCGTAGGTGTGGGGTAGCTACTCCGGTGTTCTGCCGTGTACATTGCTGCAGCGGCGCTGATACCATGTGTTTGTGTTGTAACCATAGCCTCTTATTGTAGTTATAGCAGCTCCAAGAGTTTGTTATGTTTTGCTGACATTGTTGGGGCTGGTTATGAGCAACGGATCAGGTTGTGCTGTGTTAATATTGCATTTGGCTGTGCGTTGTGTTCGGATTGTGATAACCAAACACAGTGCAAGTGTAGGATAGGAGACTGATGAAATACAAGACAAATTATTTGAATGCAATATATAGTTCAGCCAATAGTGACCAAAATTACTGTCTTGATTGTTTGTCTCTGGCATTTGTTATTATACAGGTATTGTACCAAATTATACCACCAGCTGCGACTAGGGCTAGGTATCATTAAGAAGTTGCCGATACGATACATATTGATACAGTGAGCTTTCGATTTGATACGATGTGGTTCAATAAAAAATAATGGCTAAATCATGGCTGTGATACTAAAAGTCTGTTGCACCACATCTTGTGCAAAGTGAATATGAAATGCACCCAATTTACTCATCAAAACAGTGAATATGTCAAATGTGTTGCATAAAAGAGCTTCTTCCTCTAAACAAGCAAACTGTAGCAAATTACAAAATTAATTTACAAAAACATATTCTTGGTGATATATCAATACAGCAGCTCACGATATCGATACTGTATTGTCACATTAACTGATACAATATATCGACTGTGACTGATAAGCAGTTCTTGATGTCAAAATGTGTCAGCTGCATGCTGTATGCATATATTTATGACTGGTGAGTGTAAGTGTTTTATTGTCTATAATCAGGAAGTGTGAGCATGCAAGTTATTAGCTTTATCATGAGAGCCAAAACTCCACTCTGATCTCTGAAAGTTGTAAATCCATCACGGTGAAAAATTTAAATGCTTGGAATGAATAAGGTAAGTGCAAAATATATATGGACCACGGCAAAAATGAACTAGGACTGTTTTTCAAGAAAGTAAAAATCAGGTACATGGATGAATACAGTGGGACTTCCTAATTACAGGACAATAAAACACTCATTAGTTTACAAATATATGCAGACATTATGCAGCTGATACATTTCGACATCAAGAACTGCTTATCAGTTCTAACAAAATCTGGTTAGAGGGCTTACAAACTGAAATAACATGTAGACCTTGTGGGTATGATTGTGTATTTGTTTGTCATTTAACCAGGCTATTATTATGTTATTGGTAATTCATTGGAACAAGGGATATGACATACCTCGCTCTTGTTGAAAGAGAGACATGGGTAGATGTCCTCACGATAAATTCTCTCCAAAAAGATGCAGTTTCGGTCCAGCGTTGGCTCTTCCTTCCATAGTTTGAATTCATTGAACAACTGACTGTCCACCTACACATTTGACACAGAAAAACAAAAAAGTAAGTAAAAAAACATCTTGCCAGTCTTGCCATCTTCTAATACAGCTAACCAACCTCTCTACACTCTCGGACTATTGGTTGTGTTGCTGATGGGTCCGGTTGTGTGCCTAGAATGGCAGAGGAAGTGCTCTTGTTCCTGCTGTGACCCTTCCTAAAAGGAGTCTTTCCCCCGCTGGAGGGGAGTTCGCCCACTGGGGAGGTTGGAGAGGAGAGGACCAGGGTCTTCAATGCTTGCACCTCAGCCTGGAGGACATCAATCTACCCAGCCAAAGAGATGGAAATTAGTACAAGAGATACCCATTATTTCAGTCACTGGATATCACAATTTATTTTAAAACAAATATATACAATGTTACCTTGCCCAAAGCTTCTTTCAATTGTTTCTCGGCATTAGCCTGTTTAACGTTTGCTTCTCTGACCATCTTGTGGGCCTCCTAGCAAGCATACAGCAAGTAAGGGACATTTTCCAATTATATAATATGAGGATATTTTCTACCTCTCCATTAGCTTATATTTATGTTTAGAGATACCCAGAGAAAAAACAGCAACTATCTATGTACAAAAATACAGCAAAAGCACCCACACAATCCCATTTCCAGATTTACAAAACAGAACTATAATGTTGCAATCCATATTCCGCATACAGGTAGCCACTTACAGTGTGTTTATGAGCAAAAGAAAAATAAAGTTTGATTTTAAAGCAGCTTATTGGGAGCAGCAGTGAGACAGGCACAAGTGAGTGTCAGACCAACCTGGAAAAGGCTGGCGGTGAGCTCCTCCAGCTCCTGGCCAAGCTGGTCTCTGACTTTAGACAACCTCTCACACTCCTCATCCTTCAACAGCAGCTCCTTTCATACACACATACACATACACATACACATACACATACACATACACATACACATACACACACACACACACACACACACACGCACAAACAAAACATAACAAAAAACATCCAGCAAATGAATACATCATGCATGGCAACAAATTAAACTGAAAAATAAACAAAAAAATATATGTCTCAGCACAAACAATTAACAAATTAAAAACAAAAACAGTTGAAGTACCACAATCAGCCTGAATAATTCAAATTCAAAGAGCTCATTTTGTGCCATTTTGATGATCCACATTCACTAACAAAGTAACTGTCAGAATAAGTCATGGCCAAAGACCATGTACAAGTGTGGCCTACCCTTTGGGCCTTTGCTAGTTCCTCCTTTAACCTCTCATAGCCTTTCTCTCTGACTTCCATTACAGAGGGGCTGTGTAGCCGAGCGAGACTGTCACTCAAAGCACTACACTCCTCACCATCCTCTCCATCTGCAGAGTCCGCCTCCAGGCCTGGAACACTGCAGCACAGACAATGTATTTAAAGGATTATATACACTTTTATAAGGTTAGTTTTAGAAGCTCTTTACCTTCCATTGTGGCTATGTCTTGGTGATGAGTAAACGGGCTGTGTGGGGAGCTGATCTGCTCGCAGGGAGGTAGGGAGACCAGAAGGGGGCGCTCCAAGCGAATGGGTGCGATAAAGAGAGGTTGGAGGAGTGCTGTGCCTAACAGGAGGACGCTGCTCAGCTTGATTCTACACAACAATTACACAATCATTTCACAACACTTAATAGGAAATAATCCTATAAATAGAACATTTGTTTACAGTGTAGGTTACCTGAAGATCAGGGGTGGTGGGTGAAGCCAGATTCACTTCATGAAACCCCTCCAAAGGTTCTGCACTGCTCTGACTGCTGCTGCAGGCCATGGCAGCAACTCTTAGACATCATACACTCTGCAATCATAGTGTAATTTTCAGACTAGGTAACAGGTATAGAAAAAGTTTACTGCATTTTATCATTAGAGACAAAATGCACATGCCATACATGTGTTGCCATACATACAACTCTGGAGAAGGAAATTTCAAATTATATAACTAAAAAAAAAAAAAAATAATATATATATATATATATATATATATGTACTAGTTGTTTGCTCACCATAGTGCTGAAAGACAAACAGGTTTGGAGTATCTATACCAGCATCAGGCAGCAAGTGACAAAACAGCTCATGTATGAATGCACGCCCTCAACAAAACTGAAAAACAAGAGTGAACAAAATACATAGCAATTCAAAACTGGGCTAAAAATATTTTATTTATTTTATTTAAGCCTGACTGAAAATTTTGTTAGGGTTCTGGTTTTAAACGTGGCAAATGTAGATATTTAATTTACAGATAAAACAGAGCAGACTGACATGGATCATCAGGCTCACTGATCTGTTTTTATAAAGAACCATTCATATAGATTAGTTTTCTATAAATAATTCTAACCTTTGGCATCTTATTGTTGTAGTTAAGCAGTCTTTGTTTTGACTGCCTCCTCAAGGGAAGGTTTGGTTTAATAGCATACTTGTTCAGCCAGGCCTTGCAAAGTTTCACTGTGTGTCCAAGTGGGTGTAGCAAAGTGTAAACAAAAACTGCTTTTAGGCATTTGCTGTCACTTATGACTGAAGCAACTACTCCAGTAAAAAATATTATTATTGAAAAAAAAATCTGCAAATATTTTAGTAATCAAATAAATGTTATCTTGAGTAAACATACTACATGCTGTAAAAAATAAATAAAAAAATTTGGTGTACAAGCTTTTCTATAGTGGCACCACGTCAGTTTCATAATTACAGGCCTTTTAAAGACTGATCGACTAACTTGGCAAATATTGATCAATGGATTGGCAAAATAATCATTGCAGCCCTCTGGGAATAAAAAAAAAACTAAAGGTGGCAATTGCATGCTTAATTGTACTATCCCATTGTTGAATACAACAATTTTTATTGCTCCAGTGATGTGCTATGGTTCAATTGTTAAACCACATGACATTTTTTGGTCGAGGGAATGACAACATTCAAGAACTAGATGACAGCTCCTCACCTGCCTGTTAAAACATGTGAAACAAGCCCACAGCTCCAGCCAATCCCAGATACCCTCTGCTGCTCATCACCATAGAGACCATGGCTGAAAGCTTTCACTCGTAACCTGACACTATGAGGGATGCTGGGTAAAGCTCCTATTACTCTGTCAGTCTGTGGGTGCTCCTGTGTTTGTTGTTTAAAAGTTAAGATGCTACACTAATGCTGGCTAATCCAGTGACACAGTGGTGGAGGAACACAAGCACTTATCAGGTGGTACTTAGAATGGTTTCAGATTTGAATAAATGAAATTGAAAAGCATTTAAATAAACAGTCTTCGTAGCACATGTGTCATAAAATATATAGTTAAAATAAAATAACAGTTATTATAACTGACAATATACTACTGCAGAACACCCCTTTTTCTGCTGAATACTAGTGGAGGAAAAAACAATAAATGTGGAATAAGTTTAGTTTTCAGAGGTTAAAACTAGCTGATTGAGCAACAAATATCCAAAAGATGCACATTGCACTCACCTACTGCATTGTTCATTAAACTTCATAGCACTGAATCTTTATAATTACATTATTATTAATTATAAAGTTACCTAAATTGCACACAGAAACACCAGACAAATAACTATTGCAACATAATTACCTCGTTCATTAGGCTGTCAAATTTAAACAAAGGCAGAAATTCATCTACCAACCTGGCGCGTTCTTTATGAATGTTTAGCATCAGATTAGGGACAATTAGAGTGGGGTTGTTTCACGGAGGAGAGGATGTCATAACACCAGCAGCTGCCTGATACTTGACACTGCACATTAAAGATGCAGGGATGCCGTGTCTTCGCAGTGTCATTAGATTCCCCTGCAAAGAGCCATCTATGTTGACTGCGTTTGGAGCTACGCTTACAATGAGTGACATCGTCTGCAGAATATTTTTGCCTGTTAAGTGACACCGAAATAAACGAGTGGGTCGTAGTTGAAAAGTGAAGTGTGGAGGAGTAGACTGGATGAATTCACGTTTTCAATCGGAGACAATGAAGCAGTCTAAAATGCTATAATTGTGCAAGTTTGTTACAATAAACTTTATAATGTTCTGTAAAATATTAACACAGCAACTGTTAAAAAAGGGACCAATGGTGCGCTCGTCTGTAGTTAACGTATTAACAATTAGCTTTTGACTTGCTAGCTTGTGTAGCTAGCATGCTAACTGACTTCTAAAGAAAATAAATGTTTATAGACCATAACGCTGATGACACACGACATGCGTAGGCTACTCACCTGCTACCAGCGTGAACATCGACCAAAATGCACGAACACATTAAAAAGCAGCGTGCCGCGTGATGATAAAGAGAAAAAAGCTGAAGTGCGACTGACAGAAGATGCGTTTGGGAACAACTCGAAACATTCAGCAGCGTAATATGCGCTGTATCGCCTGAATGTAAACTATCGCCCCCATGTGGATAACACTTAGGAAATACAATAGTGGGGTCATTAAAGGATTTATTTTTGTCTTAAATTTTTTTTGTTGATTAACAATCACGTTTATTTTTTATGAATGCAAGCTAAAATCTGAAATTTGAAGAAGCAACACTTCTAATATACGTTTAAAATACAGCCTGCGTATAGACTTTTCTCTTGATTAAGAAATATAATGTTGAAAACACTAAGCTGAGCTGATTATGAAAGGATCATGAAACTAAGACAAGAAAAGACGCATCACTGGCATTTTGTGAAGACCAATTAGAGTAGGCCCTCGAGATTGCCATTTACGCAATGGCCTTTTGGTGGCGACAAAATACTAGGGTAGGGCCTATGTCGTCACAACAAACCCACAAACCCAGGGCCTTCCTTCTATGGCAGGGCATAATTGAATAGATGAGCCTAACATTAGTTGAAACTATAATGGGTGTGCAGGATATTTTGTGAATGTGTCACTTTTACATGACAGCCGGACGCCTGAGTGAAACCACAAGCGGACTGCAGACACACGCCCTCTTGACGGCAGTGGGCGGGCTGGAGTCGAGGTTTTAATAAACGCTCAACGTGTCGCTCTCCTCAATGCGCTCAAACCTGTCGTCTTTGTTTCTCCGGATTTTTTCAATTTTAATTTTATTTTTACAACTCATCAGTCTTGGTCATACTTTTAAAATGTCAGACGGGTAGAGCTTTTGGTAAGTGATACTTTAATATAATGGGGATATTAATAAGGATAAATATACTTATGATGCCTAAGACTCAATAGACTAGTAGCAAAAGTAAATAATTGGCTAAATATAATTTAAGGCTAGTAGTTACATGTTTAATTAGCATGTGTCCTTCAGCTACATGCATGCTGCCTGTTTTATGCCTTTCCCCTTAACTGAAATATTCACTATGCTGGACGACACTCTTTATTCTTCAGAAATATGATAGCTGTCATCTAACCATTGGTCATGGATGTCCGCATGAAGTCCAGTACCAGACTACAGTTTGGGACAAATGAGGCAACAGGTCACAACCCCGGAGTGAGTATGGAATTTAGTTTGTTTTACGTTTTCCTCTTTATCTTTGTCTACTATGAGCTGAATACATTATATTAATGATATTTATTAATACATTTACAGATTGACATTAACATCATATAAGATGTAATATTTGATGATGGCACAGTACAAAGTAGGCCTACATTGAGCAAAAAAGTTTCACAACTCTTGAAAGGATATGGGGTATATCAGGTAACTATTTCTCAAGCATTAATTCAAATATTAAGGCTTGTCTACCAAATTAAAGTGGATTAATCGACTTTCTACATAATTCATCCATTTTAATTTTGTTTTGTTTGTCCTATATGACCATGTGACAAAACTCACTCATATTTTTACATTATAGTAAAATATATGTTAGAGATTCTTAACAGTTGTTTTATCGAAGCACAGCAGGCATATACTGTAAAATTGTGGATTACATTTAAAAAGGAAAAAGATGCAATGTTTTTCCCTATTGTATCTACTGTCAATTATGAAAGATGCTCGCTGATGTGTTTACACAATATGCTCAGTCATTATGACCATCAGCAAATGACACTTACTTTAAAACTGGATCCTTGCGAGTGCCTTGGGGATGACATTTATTATCAACACAACAGAGACAAACCGGTCGAGCTGCAGTCTTTTAGGTCCGGAGCTGTTTCTGCACAATAGGCATCATTCACCTCCTGAAACCTGCATATTGCTGTCTATCTCACATTAGTTTCAGTTGGGTATTGTTGCAGGTATCTTTGTGTCTCAGTGTAAAACCAAAACATGCAGCAAACTTATTATAAAGCAACATCATCAGCTCTAAACAAAAAACATTTAAACCACTAAAGGATGGCCATCACCCTGAAATAACTTAAATAAGCAGCTTTGTACAGTCAAACAAAAAAGTTTCTTAAATATACATAGTATTACATTCATTGTCTCCTCGCGTGTTACTAATGCCAATGCAAACCTAAATCTTACAGCCTAAGAACTGGGTCTCAAAATGAGCCTGCATGCAGTTACAGGATAGCCCATTGTGTGAATTCTCAGTGGTTGCTCTGTTTGAGGCTGGACAGGTAGCCGAGGAGGTGAAGTAAAGATGAGGAGAGGAGTGGGAGGAGTCATCTTCTAATAGAAGAGAAGGCTGTTTGGGCTATAAATAGGGTAGGAATGAACCTGTGAGGGCTGGGATGCAGGAACAAACAGGTCAGTGTTCATGCAGTACACTTGGGCCCTGTATGGGATAGGAAGATTTTTACTAGGAAAATACCTACCTAAAGTACACCAAGTAGAAACATATATAACTTGCATCCCATATGAAAATCCATTTCGACAAAGTAATAATTGTCTATTTTGTTCTATTAAAAAATGCCCATGATGAGATTGAAACTTTTTTCTGGATCCTAAAAAGGCCAGAACACAGCCTGATATCCATGAAATATTGACACCAAACATACTTCACATTGGTAGAATATTTGAATGGCCAATTTGTACATTGTCATAAACACTGTGACATTATTACATTACGGATTACAGAATATTAACATTTGTATGGAATAATAAACTTGTGTGATGCCTGTTGTGTACAGAATGATGAGCTGAAGTTCTTGAGCCAAGAAGAACAGGAAATCCTCTACTTCTTTGAGAAGACCATCGATTCTCTGGAGCAGAGTCTGGAGGAAGATGAGCTGAGGCCCCAAATTCAAGCCTTCAACAATTCAGCAGTAGATGGTGCTTCCAACCCTATGTCTCATCGTCAAGCCAACCCAAAAGAGCAGGATATTATAGACTTGGTTCGTCCAAAACCAGACCTAGTACAGACCAAAGACACAGCCTTCACCCCGAATAGTCCAGGTAGCGTATTTGTCAGATTCAGTGTAACCCTTCAATAAAATGTTTGTTTTGATTGTTATTTTTCTTTCAGATTTCCAAAGTCTGATTCCACCCCCTGAGAGCCACTTTGAGGTGAAACCTCGCAGCGACCCAGATCCTTTGTCCTTGACAGACTATAACCCTTCACTTCCAGACAGTCACCCAGTGTACCACCCCCCTGGCAGCATCCCAACTCCTGCTCTGATTGCTCAAAAGATTGCAGAAACCCATCCTGGAGGCAGCACGGTGCTGAGTGCGTCATCTCTCCTTAGACAGCGAAGCTCTGAGTTTGAAAAGTCAGTCAGCTCCAATAAACAAGGCCCTCCCACCTCCACCAAGCCTGTACGCTATCCTGCTAACATCAGTGTTGTTCTTGGGAACAGAGAACAGCAGAACCCTTCACTGGCCAACATTAACATTGAGGAGAGAAGGGCACAAATGCTAGCAAACCTCTCTGGGACTTCACACCCTTTACTCCAAGAAGATTCAGAACAAGATCAGGCCACAAGAAACACCCCAACTCGTAGTGTGTCATTCAGAGATCCTACTCCTGAAAAATCTCGCATGGAGGCATTGTCAAAATTAGGACTGACACGGAACCGGGCCTCGTCAGGTGGCGTATCATCACTTCCTAGCACCTCTCTAGAGCCTCTTGCTGGTGGAGGAGCAAGCACTACAAATATGGAGAGAATCAGCACACTTCAAGAGCCTGGTAAAGCACCACATGTTCTTGCCAGTAGCAAACCTTCCGAGATTAGCACTGCTCCAAATGTAGTACCACTACCTACAGTCCAGGTACAAAATACACCACCAAGCAGTAGACCACAGGGCCGTATTAGACCCGCAGTGGAATCCACAAACATCAAGCTCCCAGAAACCAGTCCTAGATCACCACTTTTGAGCTACAGAAAACCAGATGCCCCTTCACCAGATTCCCACAAACGTCTTGAAACCAAATACACCCCCCAACCAGCCTACACTCAAAACGACTACTTTCCTTCTCCTCCTCCACCGGTGGAAACTTCAGCTGAATTTAACAACTATGGAGGAAAATCTATTGTGGTGAATTCTTCTGCATCCTTTAAGAGTGAACTGCCACCCTCTCCTGTAAGTCCTGAACCTAGAATTCTATCACCTGTTCTGGCAACCCCACCTGAGTTCAACTCTTATGGAGGAAAATCAAAAGTTATGACTCCCATTCCTGCTTCAAGAAGGGATCTCCCTGATATTCTTAGCTCACACATAGACAAGAGTCAAACACAACACTCTGAAAATGCTCCCACAGAAGCAAACAGCTACGGAGGAAAAACACGAATCATCAACGCCTCAGTCAGTGCTAGTCGGCCATCGGAAGGTTCCTCCAGGACTGTCAAACCACCAGCTCCGGCTCCAGCACCCAGACCTCCGCGGCACTCCTACCATGGGCAGACCGCAGCGCCCAAGTCCCCACAGCGGGCTCTGTCCCCTGATCACAAGCGACGTACTGGCTCAATGTTCAGACCACAGGGAATCACAGTGCAGTTTTCAGGTAAGGGGACGTCAGAGGAATCAAGGAAAGAAGCATTGAGGAAACTTGGGCTTTTAAAAGAATGATTAATTTGTTTATTGTCTACACCTGCCAAACCAGACTCTCTGGTGCAAAGCAAAAATGTGTGAGGTGTGTCAGGAAAGAGACCTTCTTTACAGAGGAATGGAGAATAATCAGATGGACTTGCACAGCTTGTTCTGACACACTGATACCAAGTTAGAACTGCACACTTAACACATTGTCATCCTACAGCAGACAGTGTATTTGTACATATCAAAAATGCTGCTGTTGCCCCAAGTCTCATCATGCATGTGTATTTTTAAAATAATATTTATGTTAATGGATTTTTGGTAGAGTATTCAAAATGTTTAATCAAGATACTTAAAGTGAACAATATGAACAAATATAAGAGAAAGGTGGCTATAAAAATATCTCCATATATGTGCCAAGACACTCTTTACCATTTTGGGTATTGGTGAAAAGGGTATTTTGTCTCACTGTGACAAAATGATATTAAGTGCACTTTCTACAAGGAGCCAAAGCTTTGTAATTTAATTTTTTAACAGTATAAAATGTAATTCTGTAAAATGTACATTGTGTAAGGCATATTTTTGTTGGATTTGTAGATATGAATTGAAGTTGAAGCAGGATATTTTTACACATGGACAAACCACAGACTGTGGAATGGCTAGTTTTTTGGGTTTTTTTTACTATGCAGAGGGAATACTTTAAAGCTGCTCGTTTGGGATGGGCATTGTACAAAACAGAAGCACTAAAACCACAGTATCTAGAAATACTTTGGTGCATTTCTGCTGCAATACTTGTATTCTAGTTGTTCTAGTGGTTTTGTCATTGAATTTTTAGTTGAATCTATGTTTTAATGAGTGAATGTTTACTGTGTATCATGACTCCGGCTTCTGTAGTTACCTACAGTTATTTTGAAGTAAATTTCGCACAGATTTGGGGCAGTGCTTTTGTGCTCAGCTGTGTGAATAGCTTAAACAGTTTTGTTTACAGACTCTGGTTTTCTGTAGTTTATCTACAGGCATTTTGAAGTATCCAGGTGAGCCTACATACCAATACTTACATATACTAAATCTTAATCAAAGTCGTGTGTGACGTCACAAGTGCTGGGACTGGGACAAAGGGAGATTGCTGTAGTTTATTTTCTATTAGTTTGTACTATATTAATTACCTATAATATTTACTATACAAATCCACTTGATGTAATATGTATTGATGATTTTTGTTAAATATTAAATCGAACAATACCACACTTTTGTAATTATTTCCTTTGAAATAACTCTGGAATGTAATGAATGAAGTGTGTTTAATGATTACCACACAACAGCTGGTTGTAAAACCATGAGACAAACATAAAATATAGTTCTCACTTGACATAATGAATGACTCTGACTAAAATGTCATACTAGACAGCATTATTTTTATTTGGATCAATATTTGTCAAAGTGTTTCCAAAAATTATTCATTTTTTCCCCCCACGCATTTAAAATAAAACAACCACTGTGGGACATGAGTATACTACTGCCTATAACTTCAATCTGATCCACAAAGGTCCATGCAGCCAATTATTATAACTATTATACTATTATTATATTGTAATTATTAAGTATAACATGTCGGACCTCTTGATTCACTCAGCAATCTAACATCAGCTGTAACAATACATAATAGCAATTTGTATTTAGTTAAAAAATACCAATGCACAGATGTTAAAAGGGACAATTATGTAAAATTAATTAATATGAAGTTTTACGAAGTCCCCTCATCATTATCTTACTGAGAGTTGCATCTAGATTACTTTAAACATGTTTGAGTAATCCTGCATTAGGCTGCTTTTGAGGCTTGAATGCTCAGAAATGTCAGTTTTCACCTACCCCCATCTGCTCACAGCTCTTCTTTTACTTGAGGCTATTGAAAGAATTCTGTATCTGGTTCATATATGTAGGGTTCAAAATGTCACAAGGTGAGAGCCATTGACTATGAGTCTCACCTCTACAACTATGATTATGAAGAGGAATTCCATGGATTGGTTTCCATTATTGCTGTTTTTGATCAACGGTTTACATGTTGCAGTTTGCACTGAAAGAAATATAACTAATGATACAGTTTATAACATGCATGTTATAATTCATTACTAAATACCCTAAAAAGCATATGACTTTAACACTCTGCTGTTCAAAATAAAACAATGGTTTGAATTTCTTATCAGAAATAAAGCAGTTACTGATGTGTAGTTTAATTTATTGATTTGTGTTATATGGCACTAACAGTATAGTGTGACAAATATGGTTCATATCCATAACAAAACTCGACTGTTATCACCATACACCAAAAGTATTAACAAAAAGTCACATTATACTTTTCCAATCATGTCTTGATTTTGACATTTAAGATATTACGTAGATCTCTGTTACGTTTATACAATGCGTATGTAAAGAAGTGCCACAAAATACAGATGACTCCAATAGTGTTTGCTTCCCGCTTCTCTCCAGCTTGTTATCTGACAACCAGGTTAATTATTCCTCTCTTTCCAAAACACATCAACTTTGGATTTATATTTAAAACTCGTGCTGACTTCTCAAGCCCAATACTTTATTGCCTCAATGGCAGTCTTATTCACTATTCCCAAAAATGAGACATTTCAGCATTTGCATGGAAGGTAGACAGGGGTCTTGTCCAGCTTGCCGTTAGCTGTTCAATATTACACAGCTCTGTTCTGGACAGTTTTGCATCTATATGCTGTTGTGCTACTCTCCACTTTGCTAACAGACAAAAAAGAAAAGACACCTGTCACCTGTGTCCGACCTCTGGACCCCAGACCGGCAGTCCTGGTTTGGTCCTCCACCTCAGGCTCCAAAGTGTTTAGGTCTTATCCTGATTCAGTGGAAGCCCAGAAGACTTTTTCCTGCTCAGACCGGTTATTTCCGATCTTGCTTTTTTACCTGTTCTTTCTTCTACCCACTTTTTCAATCATCCTGGACCCAGACCTAGGTCAACGTCTCCTGAAGGACAGAGCAAAGCATTTACTGTAGTCTTAAGATATACAAAATCTTTCATTCTTACGTAGAAAAGAAAAGAAATTATAAAAAGGTCTACTGACAAAAACAATATTAATACAACAATAAATCTACTGCACAATGGGCTACACCTGAAGAATATAACTGAGTGAACACCTTGCTATCAGATTGGAACAAGAAAGGATACAAAGGATAATTCATTGCATCATTCATTTTAATTTGATTCATTTGTAAACTTCACAACTGTCCTTCCTCCCTGGAAGCTTGCACAATATACATCTTTGAGCAAGGCATGCTAAAGGCTACTGAAACGTCACACTGAGCTGCCCTGGCCTAGTCCAAAAAAGTATATTTTCTCTGCTGCTTGACTTTTTGTGTTGTTTTGCCTGCATTTCTCGCCTCTCTTGCATTTCCTTCCTTGAAAATTTGATTCTGTTCAAAGAGAGGATGTCAGATGACAGTGCACAATGAAATACTCCCTCATGTACATCATAGACAGACTGTAAGGGTCATCTGTCATCATCTGTCAGGGCTGGGGTCTCACCTTCCACCCGTTTTGAAGATGAGGTCTGCATTGGGAGCCCCTTTTGGGTGCTGATAGCGAGGCCTGCGCTCTCTGTTGGTGTTTGCCTGTGCTGGACGCTGAGCCAAGGACTGCATCATTTCTGTGACAATACAAGCAGAAATATTTCACAAATATAATAAAATGTTTTGAGAAGTTCCCCAGTTGTCTGTAAATAACACAGGTATACCAATGAAACAATGCAACAATGCAGCCTGATGTTGTAACGCTTGTGCAATATGGGTCTCAAAATAATGATCAGCTGAAGTTTTCTTCAGATTTTCCTTGTTATTTGGCTATGACATCTCTGTGGGTTCCTTTAGAATGTAGCTGTGGAAAGTGTTATGATAAAACATGGATTACCCTGGTAGTCCTCCTGCTCCTGTCTTTCATTAATGTCCAAGGTGAGTTTCTTCATTCTCATGCGTTCCTCTTGCTCTGCTTGCTGCTGGTTGAAGTGGTTGGCCGCGAGGTGTGATGACAGGGGTACATTCAGTATCTTGTACTATTAAAATGGAGAAACATAACTTTGTAGACTTGCATATTTATTTTGAACCGATTGTCCTTTTGTCCTAATGGGAATATGAAAACAGTGGTAATGTATTGTAAAATGCAATTTTCATGGATCTTGCATAAAAACAAACCAAACTGGTCAGCGGTCACAAGTTTCTGTGTTTGCCCCAGTGCATTTGATGGCTGTCCTTTAAACAGACAACTCTACATTACATCAAACCTCAAAGCAGAGCCAGAAAGTTGGACACGCCCAAAGACACATTAGCCAGGCTCAGCCTTCAGTTCACAAAGTCCAGCCCAAAAGTGCCTCAACACATATATGGAAATACACACAAACTTGTGTATTTGAGGAACTACAATGGCCACACGATATACCATCCTAATCCAATTAGCTATAGCCTCAAACAACCTATAAAAAGGATCTGTATAGTGGCATAAAACAAGCAATTACACTCCATAATGTACGCATAACACATATGCAGTTAATATCTTATCAAGTGATACTATGTACATGCACCAAGATATTACCATACCTTATACCCAATAGTTTTTTTTTAAATATAGAGATAAAAGAGGATGGCAGAGGGGTGACACATGATTATTAAAAACACAACATCCATATACATGTAGATGATGAATCCAAGTATATTGGCAACATACCACTCTAACACAACAGATAAGAACCACTGTTCAGTATAGGTTGGAGTATTGTCAGCAGTACATATTTTCCTTAGGTTACATAGCACACTTCATCAAAAATGTTTTAAGTTAACAGTATCACAAGCAGAAAGCACCAGAAGGTTTGTGAGAAGTGTTTTATCAAAAATACTTCTATAAACAATTTGAACTATAAAGCTTTGACATATATCCATGCCTTCTTGTTTATTACTCTGTCTCAATATATTATGCCTCATGTTGTGGCCAATTGTTAAGAGGGGACAAGAAGCCCTCTTTTAACAATTGATCATCAAATACAAGAGTATTTTTGATAAAACACTTCTTACAAAATTTCTGGCGCTTTCTTCTTGTGATACTGTTAACTTAAAACATTTTTGATGAAGTGTGCTGTGTAACCTATGGGAAATATGTACCGTTGACAATACTTCAACCTATACTGAACAGTGGTTCTTATCTGTTGTGTTAGAGTGGTATGTTGCCAATATACTTGGATTCATCATCTATATGTATATGGATGTTTTGTTTTAAATAATTATGTGTTTGATCATTTGGTCACATGACCCCTATAAATTGGGTCATACCTGCTGCTCATTCTATCAGCCCCGATGAAGACTCATAAGTAGTCGAAACACGCTTGGCGTGACCACTAATAAACATATTGCAAATCAGACTGCCTCTGCCATCCTTTTTATTAATGTATTTAGTTACATATTCTGTAAATCTGCCATATTAGCCAAAATGGCAATTTGGCATCTGTAGTCCTTTGATAGTTATTAAGGTTAGCCTTAAAGTAGACATATTGTGCTTGTGTCTGCTATATAGTTATAATCTATGACACCCATGTATCATTCTCTTATAATTTGCACTTTTTAAATCACAATGTTCATTTAAACAACTTAATAAAGGAAGCAAGTCTGCTGACTTCCATATTGGAAAACTGGTGCCCAGTGGGAGCCGACATAGGCGTAAACATCATCACAAAACATATTGGCATGTCACGCTAGCATGTAGCAGATTTTTTTCATTTGTACAAAAATGACGGAATGCTATTGAATCCTACACATATCACCAAAAAAATAAATAAAATGAAGAACAAAAATGAAGTAGAAAGCAGGGTATCCTGGTGACGGTGAAAATTAGGGTAACTGACAATATGGTGTCTTGAAAATAAGCGATTAATGGTTGCTCAAACATGCACGACTCACTCCAAATACAACTTTGGGAGAGTAAATTGTGAGGTGACACAACTATAACATGGTTAAAACCTCTAAAGTTGATCTGGCATGAAAGTTCTGCTTTAAAACAATAATTCTGCAAATATACAAATAACAATTTTTAAGATCTTTAAAGAATAACATGTCAAACTTAATAATACAAAACATTACCTGCTGCTTATTGCCTTTGCGCGTGAGCATGACAAACTGCATGGTGTCAGATATGTCACTGGCTCCCTCTCCGATGCATGGCGGCCCGGCACCAC